CTGAAGTAGAAAATTATAACAACTGAAAAAAGCCAGAGTTTATATTGGTGAGTTTTGAAGTTTGGGGAAGTAATAAATCACCAGAATGAAAGTAAATTAGTATGTTGATATATTAACATGCCAGCAGAAACAGTCTTGCATCTGTTTAAAAAACAGGCAAACACTTAAATTGATACTTTTGGTGATTGAAAGCATATTTTTCTTATCTTCTTGTGAACTTTTGTATGTCAACAGAAAAAAAAATATTTTAACTTATTCAATTGCTGCATTCTCTTAATGTTCTTTTTAATTCTCTCAGCATCAAGAACAATATGCTCATAGCAGAGTGTCAAGTGCAGTAGCTGGCAGGACAGAGCAACAGCCACTCAGAGAAAGAACTGTTACTGTTGATCAATATTCAAGACCCAGCACAACTCAGACATTCAGGGTATGTTACAGTGTAAGTGGAGACAAGGGAAAAGGGAACAGGTTTTCTTTCACGCCTGCTGTTGGTTTACAGAAGGTCTCATTTCAGAGTCTCTCCTGACTTCTGATGTACAGGGATTCCCACTACCTGAGGAATCCCTGAGAAGAGAGGAGGATGCTAAAAGTCTTGGGGAGGGGTGTGGGACTGTTGTATGAGAAAGAATTTTTTTCAGGTTTTGAGGGGGTGTGTGTGCTAGAAGTGTGCAGTTTTAGTGCTGTTTTGGGCTTTGCACTTTGGTAGGATCCAGTCTGCTGGACTAGATCATAAAACCATAATCAAACCCTTTCTGTAGATAAGCGTATCTCACTAGCTAAGAGTAGATATTTCCTTTTTACAGAGAGACACACTTCAGAAGAAGTCACTGACTCCTGTGGAGTTTGCTAACCACAGAAGGACCGGTCAAGGATTTTTGATAACAGGTAGGCAAAGGAGAATGACTTAAAAGGTAAAAGGCCAACAAAACCTGTTAACCCATCGCACTGTCAGAAAGTATAGTGCCTAGGGAGAGCCATCTCTGCATAAAAGAAAAACAGATTTTCTTAGTAGGATTTTTGAGTTTAGATTGAAGCTTCTTCTCACTTGCTCTGAGGGAGTCCTAATTTATAGGTAGGAATCCTGTGAAGTTTCTTTTTCTTGTTATGACGTTGTAGGAAAAGGATTCCACCTCATCATCTCATATTTTCTTTTTTTTTGGTATTTTGACATATTTACAACTATAGCAAGAGCATGTAGTGTACAGGCTAGATATTTTTGCAGCTGCTAGAGTAGTAACACAGTTGCATGCTTGTGAACTGCTCATGACAAATTTTAGGTCTGAAATTAATAAACTTTTTGTGTGAAGAAAAAGTAGATTTGAAAATGCGCATTTTTAACAAAATTATAAAGCTCTCATAAAAAAAAAATCAGTATTGATTTGCAACCCTGTCTTGAATTTACAACCCCAAAAAGAGAGCAACCCTATGTAGCTCATTTTGTTTCATTTTTACAATGAAGTTGACTAGCTGGTTCCTGGTGTATTTGAGTTCTTATAAGTAATCTTTACTTGTTTGGAAGTTCCTTAAGTTTAAATAATTATATCATTGACAAAATTATATGACAGGTGATGTAAGAATAAGGGCAGGTTAGCAAATATTGATCTGAGCACACTGGTGGGAGTAACTCATATATAATTTTGGAGTGTCTTTCAGAAAGTACAACATTTAACAATGTTTTGTATTTTCCAGGTACACAGAATTACTCCAGATCCTTTCAGAGAAATCCTCCAACCTCAAAGAAGAGATTTCAGATTGCTTCTTAAGCTGTTTTAGGAAGAAACAGAAACCCTCTGCACTGATTGAAAGACTGAAGCCCTAAATTTGCCACTTAGTATCTTGTGTAACAAAGAATGTATGCATATGGTAGTGTCTGCTGAGCCTTGCAATCCTCAGGATGCCTGGATTACCTTCTTTTAAAATTATTTGACCAGAGCTTAGAGTAAAAATTATAGCAAAATGAAATAAATGGTTGAGGTATGTGCTCTGTTTGCAGTATCAAGAGACTGGCTGCACTTTGAGGCATTCCTCCTTTTTATGCCTTTCCCAGGGAATTTTTTTCTACCTATCAAATAAGATGCATTTAGAACATAAAGTGCTGTCCCTACTTATTTTTATTTCCTTAAAGATGTTCTAGTCTATCTAAATATTAGTCATATATAAAATTTATATTTTTAAATAGAAGTTTGCAGTACTTCCTCTTAAACTGCTATGTTAACATTTCTTCATTTTTCAGTCTGTCTGCTTATTATTATATTACTATATTTTATCTCTTAAAAGTATTATCTGTACCAACCTTTTCTTCTTCCTTTGATTCTTTCGAAACCTCATTTATTGCTGTTCTAATCATCAGTAACTGTGGGAACTGCTGGGATAAACTTGTTTACAGCAAGTAATGTTTTTCCTGCTGAGCCAAACGTTTATAGATGCTGAGAATTGAACCACATGCTGACAAATCTGTAAGACAATTCCCCCACTTTTTGAGGTTTCTTGCACAAATGAAGAGAAGAGCAGAACAACAAGCTTCTGTGGCTTAAAAAGAAAGATTTGCTAATTACCAGAGCAGCAATGGATTGCTCTCAAGTGGCAAGAGAGAGGAAGAGGGATGTTTGCTGTCTACCAGAAGTATTTTAACACTTCTCCCTTTTGGTCAGTTTTTGGGCACCTGAAAATTGCTGGTTATCCTGATAATCATTGTAGACTCATTCCAGGTTGGAAGGGACGTCAAGGATCATCTGGTCAAATCTTTGCTGGCAAAAGCATGGTCTAGATGAGATGGCCCATCACTCTGTCCAGCTGAATCTTAAGTCTCCAATGCTGGGGAATCCACCACTTGCCACATAATGGAGAGATTATTCCAATGGTTGATTATTCTCATTGTGAAAAGTTTTCCTCTTGTGTCCATTTGGAATCTTCCCAGGTGTAATTTACATGCATCACTCCTCACTTTTCCATAAGACTTCTTATGAAAAGGGAATCTCCATCTTCTTAGTAGACACCCTTTAAATACAGGGACATGTTGATAAGATGTGCCTAAGCTTATTTTCTCCAAGCTGGACAAATCCACTTTTCTCAGCCTTTCCTCACATGACAGGCTACCCAGTAATTTGGTCATCTTTGTTGCCCTTTACTGCACCTTCTCTACCCTGTCCACATCTTTCTTGTATAGCAGGGATCAAAACTGAACACAATATTCAGGTGTGACCTGACCAGAACTGAGTAGAATGGCATAGTTACTTTATCTCTCCTGGCATTGATGCAGCTAAGTCTTTTATTGGCTTTCTTTGCTGCAGCAACAAACTGTTCACTCACACTGAGCTGCTTGTCCACCAGCACTCCCAGGTCCCCTTCCATAGAGCTGTTCTCTAGCCAAGTAGATCCCCAGCCTGTGCTGGATGATGTTTTTCCATGTGCAGGACCTAAGGATATTTGTCCTTACTGAACTTCATAAGGTTCTTGTTAGCCCATTTTTTCAGCCTGTCCAGGTCTGCCTGCAGGGTCATTCTCCCTTCCAAAGTGTCCACTGCCTCACTCAGTTTGGCCTCACTGACAAACTTCATCTGGGTACACTTGATCCCATAATCCAAACCACTGATGAAAGTACTAAACAGCTTTGGGCCCAGTAGCTTTCTCTGGGCGACTCCACTTGTGGCAGGGTGAGAGGGAGCAATTTCCCACCACCCTCCCGGTGCGGCTGAGTGGCCAATTCCCCACCCACTGCATGGATCACACATCCACACCATCACATCTGCATTTCTGTAGGAAGAGGCCATCGGAAACCATATCAAAAGCCGTGGAGTTATCCAGGTAGACAATGTTCAAGCAGGTTCATTTGTTGTAAGAGGCAATCAGGTTTTCAAAGAACACTTTTTCCTTGGTCAATCTGTGCTGGCTTTACCTAATCATGGAGTCCATTTGACTTGTAACAGCACCCAGGAAAATTTGTTCTGTAGGTTTCCCAGGGACTGAAGTAAGACAGGTGGGCCTATAATTTTCTGGATCCTCTCTGAAATCCTTCTTGTAGACAGGAGTGACATTAGCCTTCTTTAAGTCTTCTTGGATGTCCCCCAAATGCCACAACTTAAAAATTATGGAGGGTGGCCTTACAGCTATATTGGCCAGCTTTTCTTGGTTGGATACTATCAGATCACATCAATGTGTAGAGGTCAAACTCATGTAATAGTTCACATACCAACCCTTCCTTCACAGATAGTGGGTCTGTGTTTGCATCAGCCAGATTTTTTTTTTTCCCCAAGGCTTGGTGCTGATTAAAGGACAAGGGTGAAGAAAGTGTTGAGTACCTCTGCTTTTTCAGTCTTGTTGGTGACTAATTCATCTCTCCTATTAAACACAGGCAAATACTTTCCTTCTGTTTCTACTTGTTTACATACCTGTCCTGGTTTCAGCTGGCATAGAATTTATTTTCATCCTAGTAGCTGGCACAGTGCTGTGTTTTAAATTGTTATGAGAATAATGTTGACTACACTGTAATGTTTTAGTTCTTGCTAAGTTGCGTTTGCCCAACATCAAAGACTTTTCAGTGCTCCATACTCTGCCAGTGGGAGGGTCACAAGAAGTGAGGGAGCATGGCCAGGACAGCTGACCCCATCTGGTCATACCATAAAGTCCACACCACAGAAGGCCCTGCTCAGTACATGAACTGAATGTGGGGGAGGTGGGGGTGGCTGGGAGGGACCTATTGCTGCTTGGGGGTGGACTGAAGTCAGTGGATGGTAAGCAATTGTTTTGTATAATTGCTTGTGTTTCTTGGGTTTTGTTCCTCTTTCCTATTTTCCTGTTTTTATTTTACTTTATTATATTTCAATCAGTAAACTTTTCTTATCCCAGTCCATAGGTTGTATTTTTTTTTTTCTGATAGTCTTCTCTGTTTCACTGGGGTGGGTTGTATGCATGGTACTTTGTCATGGTCTAAGCCATGATAGTACTTGAAGAACTCTTTCTTGTAGTTTTTGACATCTCTGACAAATTTCCATTTGAACTGAGGTTTTGCTTTTCTAACTTAATCACTGCACACCTTTGCAATGGCCTTGGACTTACTTGGATTTAATCCTGAAGCCCAGAAGAAGATTCACAGAGAACTGGACAATGTGTTTGGTAAGTTTTCCATTCCTCTTTTATCAAGACTGAAGAAATTGAGATAGGAATGCACCATGTGGCCATTCTAGGGTTTTAAGTAGCTAGAGGTGGCTGGGATGAGTGCTGGAATACCTTCAGGACAGAGTACTGAGAAAGTTTTCCAGGTAAAGGTTAGGGTTTTTCTCTTTTTTATTTTATGGTTAAGCAGTTATAGACAGACACCTATTTGCTGTTATTTTGATACTTCTTCCTTTCCCTTTTCTCCTAGGCAAAGGATATCAAGTATTGAATGGTACAAAGACTCCTGTTATAATTTGTGCACTACCAAGATTTTCCCTGACCTGGAGGAGTTTAGTCCTGAGCAATTCTTCCCTGAGCATTATAAGAAAAAGTTCTTGTATGGTTTCCAAATATTAAATATTGTTGACAGTTTGTATGCATCCATCACTTTGTAACTGACATTTCTGGTCTCACTAGGGGGTAATGTGAAGGACATTTCATCCCTATTTTCCCTTGTAATTGTCTTGTAATTGTTTCATGGTAGGCTTTTAAGCTGAGTGTAGGTGTCATGGTGTCAGTAGCAGGGCTGCTCCTGGGGTGGCCTCTCTGAGAAAAGGCTAGAGAAGAGAAATGTGCCGGCTCCACTCTGGATCCACTGCAGGACATAGCTGAGCTCAGCAGCCAAGCCAGTGTCACCTCTGTAAAAAAGTATTTACAAGTGTACAAAAAGTCCTAAACTGACAGAGGAGTGTGGGGAGGGAAAAGAGAGAGAAAGAGCAACACCAAGGTCATTCAAGGAGCAGGAGGCAGTGCTCCAGGCCTCAGAGCCGAGATTCCTCAGCAGCATGTGGAGAAACTATGCTGGAGCAGGATAAAAGAGTGGGGAGGGAGCAGCAGAGAAGAACTTTTGTCTTTGTTTCTATCTTCCTCATTATCTGTTTTTAATTGTCTATAAATTAAACTGAATGTCTGAAGTTGGGTCTGTTTTGCCCATGACGGTAACCAATAAGCAATCTTCCAGTCTATTTTGGCCCATAAGATTTTGCATCCTGTTGAGGGAGGGGAGTGAGTGGAGGGTTTGTTAATTTGCTAAAAATGCTTTTGCAGTCAGTGAAGTCATTTCTGGTACAAACCTGACTGCTGACCAAGGCTAACCCACCACAGCTTCTAAGAGAATGTACAGCTATGACTGTGTTTTGTGCAGGCACATCAAATGTGGACAAAGACCTCCTAGAGCAAATACCGATACCAAATCTCCCATGCTGCAAGAATGCAGGTAGCAGATCTGCAGTGTTGTGCTTCTGTGACCCACGAGGTTTTCCTGGTCTTAAGCTGCCCTGTTTATTCATTCTTCATGACCTCTGGTTCACTTCATGTAGTGTGTTCCACGTTGCTAAATGCTTTCTTTAAACTTGCTGGAGTTTAGCAAAGAGGGGGCCCTGTAGAGTCTAGCCAAATCACAGAGAAGTGGGTGGAATCTTCACTTGTGACCTTGGATGAGTTGTGATCATCCAGCTTGGGAGTATGCACTTTCCTGGAAACACTGATGAATAAACACAGATGTGGTGCTTTGGTAGCCACTTAGTGTTAATTGTCTATTAGTTATACCAACATAACTGACACCTTATCAGAACTGTAGTCTGTGTTCTGGGGTGTGAGTAGTGATCTCTATTATTGTAAGTCATGTTGGTATCCTGGTAGGGAGGATTATGGTTTCTTAGGAGGCAGGCTTTTGTATTCCGTTTGGGATAATTTATTCATACAAAATGTCTTGTAGTAAAGGGACAAAGCAGTTGCTGCTGTACAGTGAACACTAGGTTGCCGAAACCAAACAAGGTATGCTTGATGGTGGTGGCATCAAACCAATAGGTGACCCTGAAAAACAGCTTTGGTCTCTGTCTCAGAAATCCTGACAATGTCCTTTACCTGTGTGAGAAAGGGTCCACAGAAGGTTTTGAAGCTGAAATCTTCCTCAGGATTTGTTCTTGGAAGCCTATATTTTGGGTATGAAGCTTTAGTATCTCTGTTTGGACATGAAATTTAGTATCAGTCCCTAAAATTCCTCTCTGAGAACTGGGGAGATCTCTGAGCTCTCCAGCTGTCCAGCTGATGAATATATTTTGAAATGGAGACATACTGTGATATGTTGTCTTTTGTCTAGGTGGTGGCTATTGTGGACTACAAACAGCCTGTTTATTTCAGTGTAGCTTTCTGCCTAAAGGATAATCATGTTGTCATGATGTGTGTTTTTTTAGAAAGAGAGAAGCTCTTGCTAAGAAAGCCTTTCTTAAGAAAAAAACATTCAGTTTTTTAATAATTTTTAAAATCATAAAACATTCTTAGTTTTTCATAATGAGTTGTATACTTCTCTATTCAGCTTGGATGCTGAGCACAGCTATGTTCTGCAATGGATCCAGAGCGGAGTCAGCAGGAGCCTCACTCTTGTATCAGATCCACTTTAGACTTGCTTTGTTTTTGTTTTGTTTTGTTTTTTTCTTGCTGTTAATGATTTTATTAGTTTTTCTTATTGAAGAACCCAGGCTTCTTTCTAGGGACCAGCAGAAGCCTGTGTTGTCATTGTATTTTGTGGCTGACACAGCTGCCTAACAGGTTGCTTGTCTTCTGCCAGCACAGGTAGATAGGCTTCCACTTAGGCAAGAGGCTGAAGAAGAGCATTTATAAAAGCAAAAATTCAGTAAGCAGTGGAGTGTTCACAGAAATCCAACACTGAACAATAGCTCTTTGGGTAAAAAAGAAATGCTGATCACAATCTGGTAGAAAACTCATTTGCTACAGAACATCCTCCAAGTTTTGTTATGATTCCAAGTCTTGGTGACATAATTAGGCCTCAAAGATGCTAGACCTCTAATTTCTTTTTTCTTGGGAATATATCTTTTATGTCTCATTCCAGTGTTTCTGCTGCTTTTTATTAACATCATTGCCGTTGCCAGCTGCTGGCAGGATGCTGCAATGTTTGCTTTGCAGTGTTCCCTACTGCTTTCCCAATGCCTTTCCACCTTCTCCTTGCTGTTTCACGGTTTTTTTTTTTTTTTTTTTTTGGTTTTTGGTGTTTTTTTTTTTCCCATAGAAGGAATAATCAGCAGTTAGAAGTATAGATTTTTGACTCAGAAGCACAAATAGTCACTTCATCTAATTGGTGCAATGAAGGCAACAAACTGCAAGACTCTTTTGACCATGTTAAAAATACAAAAGGTGAGTCTCTTCATCCTGTGTGCTTGCTTTCTTCCTAGAATGTCACCTGAACAAAAGAGGGGACTGATGATTGTCTAACTTGCCTATGTGTTTACAAGACTGGGTATATGTATGCTGCTTTCTGTCACAAACCATTACAAACAACAGCCAGAGTAGCAAAGTTCATTTCCAGCTGTTTACTGTGTAGAAAGATATAACAGTCAGCATTTATGATAACATCTCTGCTGGTAGACTGCAAGAACAAAGTGCCAAAATTTACCACCCTCTGATGCCAAGGGTCACAGAAGCTTACTTAACTTCTGATGTTCTGAGCTTTCTGTTTGTGTTTTTTCTCTTAGTTGTTTTGTTTGTGCTATTTGTTGATTTGCTAAAAATGCTTTTGTAGTCAGTGCAGTCATTTTTGGTACAAAGCAAAGAGAATAAATGTGACTATGGCCATAAGCACATACCATTTGTGCTTTATTTGGGGAGTGAACTTTTGTGAATTGGCTGTGAGCCATGCTGCCTCTAACAAAATTCTGTTTGACCAAAAGGTTTCCAAGCACCCACTTTGAGAAACAGATGCTCAGTAGCCCTGCAGCAGTGAGAAGAACCCTGGATCCCCCTGAGGCAAGAGGGGTAGCAGTGTATGGGGTGGGTTTGGTACTGTGAGTACCCAGGCACTTTGCAAGTTGGGGCACAGATGCTGGTTCTGGCAGTTGTTTTACTGGCACCCTTTAGCCTGTGCCTGAGCATTCAACAATGAGATCAGTAAAGGACATTTGAGCTGAGAGGCATCCGTGTGTTTTGCAATGCTGCTGTTGATCAGGGGTGTTTATGGGGTTTGGTTTTTGTAACTCCTTGAAGCCATCAAACCACTGAAAAAGGGTATTCTCCACTGGCCCTTCAGTTACCGTGTTAGACAGCACTGGAGCAGTTCTCTATGGCAAAATGGTGTTGAGCACGTGAAAACAGATTGAGAAAGATGATATTGAGAAAACTCATCTATCCCAAATCAGCAAAAGGGTGTTTTTTCTCTTGATGTTGCTTTGTTTTTCCTTGTGAGATATTGCATGGACCTGCAAAGAAGGCCCTCGAGCCAAGTGAGGGCAGTGACTGTTCCCTCTGGCTTGCTGCCACTAGGAAATGCTAGAATGCAGCCTCTCCATAAGAGTGTTTTTCAACGCTGTTTATTTTCCTGGAAAGAAGCTATGCCAGCAGCCTGTGTGGTGGCTCCACCTCCTGCTCTTCTGGCCAGCTTTTCTGCAGTGCCAGGTACAGATAGCGCCAGTTTCATAGCAGGGATCAAGGTTCAGGGCAGGAGGCTGAGAGGTGATGATGGAGGTCCTGGAAGGACTGTCAGGGAGACCCCAGCTGCTGCCATGGGGAGCTGGGATCATTGCTCTGCTTTTGACAATTGTGACTGTGTGCTCCCTTCCCTCCCTGATGGAATACTGGAGGCAATGGAGGATGATGAAGTCCATCCCGGGTGTCAGCCCCTGCTATCCTGTGGTGGGAAATGCCCTGCTCTTCAAGCGGAAAGGAGAAGGTAATGCCAGCTCACACTGTAGCCCAGCTGTGAGGTCCCTGCACTGCCTGGGGTTTGCTAGAGGAACCAGTGGTGGTGAGGTGCTTGTGTGGCTGAGCTGTGGGAGTGGGGTATCAGAGGATGTGCTGTTGCCTTTAGGTCTCTTTGAGCAATCTGCAGAGGGGAACTGAAGTTTGAGGAGTGGACAGTGAAGAGGAAAGGAGAGGAACTGCATAAATGTGGCATTATTATTGGTCTCAAAAGCTAACTGGGGGTTAAATGTGACAGCAGCTGCTGCTGGGCTCAGATGGTTAAGTTGTTGGTAGGGTGGAGCATGAACGCTGTGGAATGTGATTTTGTGAGAGGGAGGCGTGCTGTGGGCTCTTGCAGGAAGTACTGCATCACAAAGTTGAACACTATGTCCTCATGACCTTTTTCTGTGATCCAAACAAAGCTTGAAACAATTACCTTCCCCCAAGCAAGCATGAGCAAGGGACTTACTTTAGCATGCCAGGTTGTTTTTACCTTGGCTCACTTCCAGAATCATCTGTGACTTAGATTTATGTATTGAGTACGAAAGAGCTTGCTGAGCATTTATAGTATGTGACTCAAAACCAAATCCTTTTGTTCTTGAGCTGATTAATGGGACCTTTTTGCGCGAGAGAGCACTAATGTGCTAGATGTTCCCTTTCCATTTGGTACTCATATTTTAACAGGAACATATTTCCTAATGAGTTTGTGGTATGAAAGTGTTGCTGAGTCTGCTGCCAGTGGCTCACACTCCTCTGTGTGTGTTTGGGATGCCTGTGTATGCCAGTTCTGCTCTGTGCACGTGTTGCTGGCTGTGGTGCTGTGTATGCTTCCAGAAGAAAGGCTAACGGGTCATGGGAGCATGGTGAAGTCAAGGGAGAGTACAGCATTGGAATGCAAATTGCCCAGTGCTGACCCATGCTGAGACACAGTGCCTCTGTTCACCACACCGTCATATCTTTCCTCTGGATCCAGTCCTGTATCTAAGGACAAGTATGAGACATCTGTGGGGCTGTCAGGGCAAGCAAATTTCCACAAAGTTGACTTTGGGGAAGTAGTAGGAGGATGATAGGATGTTTATATGAGCTGGTCTGAGAGATGAATAATCTTTTTTTTTTCCCTGTCTTTTTTTTTTTTTTTTTAATCTTCTTTTAAAAACCCAAACCAAACTGGAACATTGCTTCTATCTCCAGAAAGCACTTTGATGTGAGCTCTGATGTTCTGAGTAGTCCCTAATCTCATTTGTTAGCAGGAATCACACAGCTCCCATGTTTTAGTTAAGGAATCACATGGCTCCTATGTCCAACCTTCTTTGATCTTGTTTATTTATGTAAAAATGGGTGAAGTTTGTGGTTTATAATCTCTTTCATGAAAAATGTGACCAAAAAAAACTTTTCAAAAGGGTAAGGTTCTATAACAGGAAGGAAAATAACTTTTCATATGATGAGGATTTTTTTAATTGGTATTGCTAGACAGTTACTGGAAAATGTGCTATTTTAATCATGGCAATCTTAGGAAAAATATTTTTAAAATAGCAAAATAATCTGACACTGAATCATATTAGATGAAGTGTTATTAAAACTTTTTCTAAGACTAGGAAAGCTCTGTTTGGACATTGGACATCTATTAGGAAACTTTTTTTTTTTTGTTTGATCTGGGGACCTTTGAATTTTCAATTCTGCAAAGGCTTGTAAAGGTGTCATTTGTTGTTTAAGCTTGTTTCTGAAAGGGCAAGTAAGTGTTTAATCCTCAAACATTCTGAGAGTGGCCACCACATCTAATACTGTGGAATGAACCTGATTGTCCTCTGTGATGAGATAGTATCAAAGACATTTCTGAATCAAACCAAACCATTTACTCTTCTTCCCATGACAGCAGATTCAGCTATCTCCCATGCTTTCTGTATAGCTGAATTGACAAGATACGGAGTGGGTAATTGCAGAACAATGTGGGAGGAGTATTTGCTGGGTTGCTGAGCTGACTGATATGAAGTCCAACTGGCAGCTGGACAGCAGTGGTATCCCTCAGGTTGATCTGTGGCACAAGTGGTGCTGTGAGTCTGTGCCTGAAGAGATTAGGACATCTGAATTGTAAAATCCACAGGTGCAAAATATGCTGCTAGGTCAAAGCAGAAGGTTAAAACTAAAAGAAAATCAAAATTGCAGGAAACATGGTGCAAGAGTTCTTTACAGAAGCCTTGCTTATTTTGTAAATCCCCCTTGTTGAAGTTCTACTCTGATTTTCTATTCCAGAATTTTTTAAACAGATACAGTTTTATTCTGAAGAGTTCAGAAGTTGGCCATTGTTCAAACTTTGGATAGGACCAGTGCCTGTCATGTTTTTGTATCACCCTGACAGTGTGGAGGTGAGTGTGCTGGTCTCCCGTCTATTCTGCTGGGATGTAGAGCAGTGTCAAACGTTACTTTCTATTACCTCAATGTAATTTTTTGTTAAAAAGGGCTTGGACTGATTTGCTTTGGGATAGTCCTCTGAGTTAGTGGTAAACAAAGGTGTAAAGTAAAGGAGTATAAAAAGCCTAGTCAGAGGGGACTGGGGGGAATCCTGAAGATGGCCAGCAAATGAAAGCATCAAAGAAGCATCTCCATTAGCTTGGTTTTCACATGTGTGAAAGCTTCTGCTCCCCAGATCAGAACAAACAGATGGCAGGGAAGATGGGACCACTGAAATAAGGATAGAACATGATGAAATTCAGGTTGCAAAGCTTGTGTCTCTTTGACAGACTTCTGCATTAAAACTTGGGTCTTTTTTGATGCCATGAAATGTAGTCATTAGTTTTGCTGCCAACAGTGATTGTCCTTGATCTAGTAAGACAGTGTTGTTTCTCAGTGTTGTTTCTCAGTGTTGTTTCTGTTGGAGTGTTTATTGAAGAAATACTGAAGAAATCTCTCTTCATCTAACAAGCAGTATTTTTTCTTCGCTGTTAATTTTTCTGACAGGCTATTCTGAACAATTCAAAACATATAGAAAAATCATACCTGTATGAATTCCTGCATCCATGGTTGGGCACTGGACTTCTGACAAGGTATAATATATAATGAAAAAAGGTGCACTGCTGCCTTTTTGAAATTTACAATGTATATGATAAGAAGAGGTGTTGGTGGCAGAAATGCTGTATGCATTTCTGAACAAAGGCATTCTGTGCATTGCTTATCTCAGCTGGTCATATTGCAGACCAGTAGGATAGGCCTGAGGTTGGTGATGCTTTGGGGTAGGATCAGAGAGTATCTACACCCTTTCCTTCATTTAATTCATGAAGTAGAGGATCATGAGTAGTAAGCCTGGGTAGGAGCATAAATCAGGATTGGAGAAAGGAATGAGCATCAGTATAAGGGATTGGTATCCTCCAGTCTTGGAAGGGCAAAGTAAGGATTGGTCTGGATGATGCAGATATTCAAGAGTCAGAGCAAGGTAAGTATAGAGTGTCTTTGGTAAATTTGACCCTCTTCTGAATTTTTGAAGAAAGGTCAAGGTCCCAGTGTTAGTAGTTAACTTTCTTGCTTGTTTGGAGCCCTCAGAGGTGGACTTCTCATACTTCACAATGGGACCATGCTATTGTAAAACCAGCTCTGATTATGTGGTATGGGAAGTGCAAGTTCATGTGAGAGGATGAGGCATGCGTTTTATCCTAAGTTTTGTTAATGGCCTTTAGGAAGGCAGCAATTAATCAGTAGCAATGTGCAGAGGTGAAGTCCGTGAGCATCAGGCATGGTAACAGCAAGTTAACAGGGGCAGTGGTGTGATAGTTTTACCCTGTAAACAGAAGTGCCAGCTGTGTATCTGTGGGACATGTTATTTAGAAAAAGTGAACAAAGACCCCCAGGAAGATGGTGACACTCACTGTGCCTCCATGCTTGACATTGGTATGTGGGAAGTTATTAGCTGTGTCCAAGGAAGTAGATTGTAGTCATGCCTTGAGGCAGTCATTTTCATAATGTCTCTAGACCCTAGTTCTCTGCAGGGCTCATTTCATGGTTGGTGGATGAAGGCAACACAGCTACTGATTCAGAGGGATGGTGGGGTGGGTTGAGGCCTTGATGCTAAATAGCTGGTTTGGTCTCCAGCTGGCTTCTGCTTGGTCCCTCTGAGCCTGTGCACTGACTAACAAGGATGTATTGTCTGGAGGCTTTTTGGCATCCCCATTTGTTGCGATCAATTGGAGAAATGGTGGTTTCTGCTTCCAAGAGACCTGGAGCAAGAAATATTTCTTTTTGCTCCTTCTGTGGGGTGCTATGAACAGCTTGAAGAGACATCTACAGTGTGTCCATCTGTTCCAGGCTGCAGTATTCACTGGGTACTTCCTGTAATGGTGAGGATATTATTTTTGACGTGGAGTTTATTAGCCTTCCTTCTCCCCATTAATTTTACAGCACTGGAGACAAGTGGCGGTCACGGAGGAAGATGATAACTCCCACATTCCACTTTGAAATCTTGAGTGACTTTCTAGAGGTCATGAATGAACAAGGAAATATTTTGGTGAAGAAACTTGAGAAGCATGTTGACAAGGAGCCATTTGATGTCTTTATGGACATCACTCTGTGTGCCCTTGATATTATTTGTGGTAAGTCCTGTAGTTATTGTAGTAGAATTGTGAATGATGCAGAAGATCATGAGTTTAGCTGTGCCAGTTTGTGTAAGATGATTGAAGAGCAATGTCCCTGAATATTTTCTGAATACATTTCCATCATTCCCAATCTTTTTCCCAGGGTTAACTACTTGCATCTGAGTAGCTGAGTTTTGGGACTGGCAGGACAGAAGTAGCAGTCTGAAGAGATGTTTTCTTGAGGAGCAGAATTCCTGGGCATGGAAATACAAAGAAAGCTCATTCACTGCAAAGGGATATGCATATTCACTTGTCAAAGGGATGGTGTCTTGATGGTCAGAAGCTGGGAGCAGTAGTAACTCACTGTGTACAGTGCATTTCATTTTGCATTTGTAAAATGTTGATGTTTTCCTCCTAGAAACAGCAATGGGAAGGAATGTGGATGCCCAGAAGAATAAGGATTCTGACTATGTTTCTGCTATCTACAGGTAAATGTACATTTTCCTTAGTTATTTTTTAGTTGAGCTGGAAATAATGCTGCAGCTGTCAGGAGGAAAGGCCAGGGAGTCAGAGAGGGAGGGGTGTAAAGCATTGGAACAGACTAACCCTGAGTCACTAAATACCCTGGAGGAGTTTGAAATACATGTTCCTGTTGCACTTAGGGTCATGATGTAGCAAAGGACTGGGTTAACACTAGGTTAAGAGCTGGACTCAATGATCTAAAAGGTCTTTTCCAACCTAAATCTGTGATTCTATGATCTTACTCCTAACTTTTGATGGAGCTTGTTGAGACAGGTATGATAAAAACCAGGAGTAGATCTGAAGGGTTTGATTATCATCGGATCCTTGGCCCTTTCCAGACTATAGCACAAGTGTGCTTGAAGTTGGTAATAATTACTCCTCTGTAGGTAAAGCATGTGCAAGAGCTGAATAGCAGTGACAATCAGCCCTTCCAAATGTACTCCACTTGTGCTTGAGCATACTTGAAGTTTCATATTTTTCATTTTAAATGCATTTTAAGTCCTTTAATGTGAGGTCTGGTATCTGGACATTCAAGTAGGAATGCAATGCTCTCAGAAACTGTTTGAGCTCTTGGGGCAGATATTTTGGGACCCTGTTTTAAGTAGTCTTTACAACACTGTCAATGCTTTGCTGGAGGGGGTGTGATGGGGTTGGATGACTTCATAGGACTGTTTCAAGAGGATTCAGACTAAATATGAATATGCGTCCTCAGAGATCAATACTTAAAGATATAAAACATGGTGATGCTGGGATAAGTAACATAAATTTTGAGATGATGGAAAATCAAGACACAAATGTGAATGTCCTTCCTTTCAAATAATGGGTTTAAACCTACACAATATGTTAAGTTCTACTTCATTAGGGTATATAGAAGTTGTTGGTTTTTGTTTTTTTTTTTTTTTTTTTTCTTGAAATGTGCTATAATTTGGTGGTTTTGTCAAGTAATGTTACATGATATAATTGTTTTGCCCCCAGGATGAGTGATCTAATTCAACGACGACAGATAAGCCCTTGGCTTTGGCCTGATTTTTTGTATGTATTGTTCAAAGAAGGAAGAGAGCACAAGAGGAATCTCAACATCCTTCACAATTTTACAGATATGGTATAGAGTCAGTTAAAAATTATTTATAATATTTATAATTATAATTTTCATTGTTGGATTACAGTTTTGCATTAAGATCTTCCAAATGGGGATGAGGTTCAGCCTCCTTGATATACTGTCTCTCTATTGGGATGCTGAGGAATTCCCTGAAAAGAAGACAAGAGCTGACTTCAATTTCAGGATCTCTGCTGAATTTAAACAAGGAAGTAGACTACTCCAAGGGAGTGCCAGAATTTGCAGGCCATTGAGAACTGAAACAAACAACAGAAATTCATTGAAGTAAACACAGGGCTCTGCATGGTAGTGCCACTAGGTTCAGTCCTTAGAAACTGAAGCCTGTATTCATTTTCCCCTGTTTGGAACAGAAGTGCTGAGAGGAGCAAACACATGCAGGTCCCCACATCAGCAGTAAGGAACTCTGATACAGAAATCATTAGGTCTGCATCACTCACTTGAGAAAATTTGGGAAGCTTTAGTGTAGTGGGTTCAGCAATACTGTATGTAGCCTCGACACAAGGTTCTGGGATGCCCTAGCTTCTCTTCAGTTTCCTGAGTTTTTTGGAGGTTTGAAGTGAGATCTTTCCTTAGTTCTCAGATGGAATAGAGAAGATCTTATGGTGATTAATGTGATCACACTGTGGTGATTTTTTTGATATGCTGTTGCCATTGTTGGAATTAATTATTGGTGTGTTGGGTGTGTTCCAGATGCTCTGGATATGTTTACACTTCTTGATAACCCCCAAGTTGTTTATGTAGTTTGGCTATCTATTTTCTTGATCACACAAAGGCTGTTCAAGGTTTATTCTATTGCTTGGGGCAAGAAAGGTTGGTCATAATTCACTACTAATAAAAAGTCAGTTATATTTCATGACCTAATGCTGACAGCTGTGCTAACTAGCTCATGTATACAGCTACAGATGGATGTTGTTTTGATAAGTTAGGACAAAACTGTGTGAAGCAGCTTATGCTGAATTCTTCATATCTGATGTAATGGTTCTAATCTCAGGTCATTGCAGAAAAAGCTGAAGAACTTAAAAACATCCAGCAAAAGAAACATGATAATGATGGAAACTCTGAAGAAACTGGTTCCAAAAAGAGAAAAGCATTCCTGGACATGCTGCTGAATGCAACAGATGATGAAGGGAAAAAATTGAGCTACAGGGATATTCGTGAGGAAGTGGATACTTTCATGTTTGAGGTAACCAAGGAATTAATTGGTTTATTGTTCTTTTTTGCTGTTGTTTTTGTTTTGGGAAGGTTTTATTTGCCGGGTTTTTTTGTTTGGCTTTTTTCCTCCAAACCCAAGATTTAAAATTTTCAGGTGGTTACTCTTGTCTTACTTAGTTTAGGAAGTTGTTTTTAGTATGATGTTATTTAAGCCTTGGAAGCCTAAGGGAAAATCTCAATGTTTCTATTCTACAGAGGTAGGATAGAAGCATTGGTATGCCCTGGAAAAACTTTGGACAATGCATATGTGGTAGGCCCTGCCTGTGTGAGCAGAGTCTACTCATGTCAGCAGGTGAGAAATGAAAACTTAATGGCTGACACGTACCATGGGCTCTTGCCTTTTATTGCAAACCTTATTAACACTGAAAAGAGCTCAAAATAGTTTCACTGTTTTGACTTGCATTTTGTTATGTCTCCTTGTATTTTTTCCCTTGCCACATTGCCTGCAGTCTTCTGGTTCTGTTGTCCATTGTGCATCAGTGCTTCATCTTCTTGCAGAAACTTGTTATAGAATGGCTTTGGTTGGAAGGGACCTTAAAAATCATTTAGTTACAACCCTCCTGCCATAGGCAGGGATGTCATCAACTCAGGTTGCCAGAGCCCCATCCCACCTGGCCCTGGACACCTTGAGAGACAGGACATTCAAAAGTTCTCTAGACATGTTCTTCAATAATCTCAGAATAAAAAATTTATTCCTAACATCTAATCTAAATTCTTTCTCTTTTAGTTGAAAATCTTTTCCTCTATAACTACCTGCTCATGTAAAAAGTCACACTCTCTTTTTTTTTTTTTATTTTTATTTTTTTTAATAAGTCCTCTCTAACTACTGAAAGGCCACAATCAGGTCTTCCCAGAGCATTCTCTTCTCCAGACTGAAGAACCCCAACTCTCTCAGTCTGTCTTCATAGGCTCATCCCATCTGCCATCTTCAGATGATTCTTCTTCTTATCTGATTCCCTAAGGGAGCATCTGAAGAACATTTTAGCAAGTTTTCTACACACTTCTATTAGATGAACCTGAATTCTCTCAGAAGAGCTTAATTCATAGAATCATATTATTACTGTTGTAACCTAGAGAAACTCTCTTCTCATCTTGCTATTTCTGTACTACAGCAGCATTTTGAACTTCACCACAAGTATGCTTTTTTAGTATCAAAATCCTTTTCTGGTCAAATTTTCCCTTTTCTGTTCCTCCTTTTTATGTTTTTTTTTCCCCTTCTTTGTTTCACCTTTTGTGTCTCTATTCCTTTCCTCTCCTTCCCACAGTGCTGGGAACTAGTAGGTGATTCCCTTCTCAAAGAAAACAAATTATTTTCTCCTTTGCCTTATAAAATACCATTTTTAGATACTTTTCAAAAGGTTACAAGTTGTGTCCATTGTATCTCTCCTTTGACAGTCACTGGTTCCCCCCAGATGTTGACTGGACAGTAACCAAAAAGATGAATAGACATCTGATTAATTGTGTAGATACTGATTGTTCATGCAGCTCCTGAGAATCAGAAGAGAGGGATTTTTCTTGCGTTATGTCAATACTTTCCCTTTTTGTCAGAACAATCCTGGATCACCTTTTATCTTGACAGTAGTCTGTTGAATAATTCACTCTTGTTTTATCATGTTCATGGGAGTAATAAGTCTCACTTTTCATACTAACTGCACACCTAAGTATTTATAAAGTCCACTGGTACATGGGAGTAGAGTTACAGTGAATGTCTTTGTAAATCTGGACTTGTAGGGCCATGATACAACAGCAGCTGCTATAAACTGGGTCTTGTACTTGCTTGGACGTAATCCGGAAGCTCAGAAGAAGGTTCACAGGGAATTGGACGAGGTGTTTGGTAAGTCTTCATTCCCCCTTCATTAGGGTTTTGCTGCATTTGAGAGTGGAAATGTGTTAAAAGCCTAGAAGTAGAGGGGATTTAGGAGCATGCCTTCTGGAGCTTTCAGCAGCTAGAGATGGTTGGGATAGGTGTGAGAAGGTCTGTTGGGGTGTACAACCAGCCCTATGTCTTTGGGGCAAGATATGCATGTTTAATGTGTTTGTAACACCTTCTTGTATGTAGTCTTGGTGCACGATGAGAGTTTCTGGGGGGATCCAGGATGAGTTTGTTTAGTCAAAGATGGAAAGTTTTGGTCACGGTCATCCCTCTGTTTTTGGACAGATGATGCTGAACGTCCTGTTACAGTGGATGATTTGAAGAATCTTCGATACCTTGAATGTGTTGTGAAAGAAGCTCTTCGTCTCTACCCTTCAGTTCCCATATTTGCCCGTACCTTGAGAGAGGACTGCTGCATTAGTAAGTGGTGTTCTGTGTTTGCCACTTTCCCTTGTGTTAGAATTTCTGCAGTGGAGATATTTCCCAAGAAAAGGGCAGCAGTGTTTTATTTTTTACTGTTCTCTTGTGTATAGGAAGTCACTTGTTTGCTGTTGTTTTGACTCTTCTCCCTTTCTCTCCTCTCTTTAGAGGGATATCAGATACCAAGAGGTGCAAATGTCCTCATTTTAACTTATGCCCTGCATAGAGACCCTGAGGTCTTCCCTGACCCGGAGGAGTTCAGGCCTGAGCGATTCTTTCCTGAAAATTCTAAGGGAAGGCACCCATACGCTTATGTGCCCTTCTCAGCTGGTCCCAGGAACTGCATTGGTATGTATCTGGAGAGGAAGCCCTTGTAAGGTAACAGTTCTACTTTTGAATGTGGTAACTGAGACAGCAACAAGTACTGTTTATATAGTGTTCCTCCTCACTCCCCACTCCTGAATCTGGGCACTGTGTGCCCTGCAAGCTACACACTTCCATTAGATGGACCTGAATTCTGTCAGAAGAGTTTAATTCACTGACTCATATTAATACTGTTGAGCCACCCCATTTGTTTCTTCCGAGGGATTTCCTTTCTTCCTAGGCACCAGTGTCTATCATGCTGATGTTTCTTCCTCACTGCTGTGGAGCCTGGCAGCATGATATTGGGCTTCAGTGTTAGGACATGATTGTTTCCTAATTTCTCATCCTCAGTGTCAGCAACACAGAATGAGAGAAGACACATGTCCTGCACCTGTTTTGCTCTGGAAACAGCTCATCTGTCTCTCTCAGATTCTGAGCTGGATGTCCAGAGCATTCAATCTGCAACTGATGTATTCTTTCCCTATTTCTGACACTGTAGTTGGTTTGCTGTTTTCTCTGTTATCCCAGAACTTGTTAGCACTTTCAGATGCCACTGAGACACATGGCATTTATCTGTGCTTCAAGTAGAGGAAGTGTTGTTTATATTGTAGAACTTGTGAAAAGACTGTTCCCCGCACTGATTTTAAGTGCAGATGGGGAACATCCAAAAGTTGTCATGCCATTACGATAATGGGAAATATGACTTCTTTTGTTTTTTTTGGTTTTGTTTGTTTGGTTTAGTTTCTGGTTTTGGGGGATGTGATTGGTTTGTTTTGATTTGTCTTATTGGTAGTAGGTGCCCTTTTCCATAAGAGCAGAAAACTAGGTTTTTCCTTGTTCCAAAGATAAATCTAATTTAATATAACATGTCTAGCTAGTTCCTGAGTGTGCAGGAACATGTGCAGGAGAGGTAGTTCATTTGTATCATCGCAGAAGTGCATTTTGTGTACATATGTACAGACTTCTGTGTATATAATCTGTGTATAAAATACAGAGGAGAGAACATAAAAAGTTCTCAGCATTGCATTTTGTGTCCCGTCTCCATTTGTCTCCCGTCTCTCTGCCTGGATTATGGTGCTTGGTCTGGTTTCCCCTACATTTCTCTGTTCTCATGTTTCCTCCTTCACCTATCTCTGAATTGTAAATTGAACTTTGCCGTCTGTGCTACCAAATCATCAGTGTGTATGAGGCTTAATGATCACTGAAGGAAGGTCTGTCTGTCATTCCATTGCAGTTCCATCTCCTTTGCTCCTCTACACAAATATGAGATTTTTCTCCCCACACAGTCCCTGCGCTGCATCTTCTGCTCTGGTCTGCTATCCGTCCCCCCTGCCTAGTCCTTTCAAGAGACGTGACAAGGCTGTGTTTTGTAGTTGTTCCATATAAAGAACTGACTCCATGTTGCTGTTTGAGTTCTGTGTACTATGGGAAGGAGGACGTGCTGTGGATTATCCCAAGAAGGCCAGAGCTTTCATGCAGAGAAAAATGCTAGTGTTAGTTGTATCCATATGACCTTGATTTTGGCCTAAAGCTAGTTCTGTTCTTAAGTCCTGTGAGCATGCCAGTGCAGCAGCTGTTGATACAACCTGACAATAACTATTATTTTTTCTGTAACTCACCTGTAACTCATAGGTCAGCGCTTTGCACAAATGGAGGAGAAAGCTCTTCTAGCCCTCATCCTGCGGCGCTTTTGGGTGGAATCATGTCAAAAGCCAGAAGAGCTTGGTTTATGTGGAGAATTGATTCTTCGTCCAAATAAAGGCATCTGGATTAAACTGAAGAGGAGACCAAATGCTGGATCAGAATGAAAGGAATTTCAAGAGTTTACTTCCAAAAGTTTTCAATCTGTTTAGGCTGAAACATATCTTAAAATCAAATATTTTGAAGTCAGTCCAGCAATTTGTTAAAACTAGTTGCTATTGTTTTATTAAAAAAGATGTTGTAATAGCCCTAGTTGCTCTACTTTTATAGTACTTGTGAACTTCATGTTAATCTTTGAGATGCAAGTATTTTAATCCTTAAATTTTGGTGCCTTATCTGCTCAGATGAAGCTATTCTATTGCCACAGTGCCACAAAAACTTTAGCTGTGGTAATAAGAACAGCAATGCCTGCGATGAAGTGATCAGTTTACATGCCATAGGATTTTCCAAGTAACTGGAAGTCTCAAGTGTTTGTAAGGTTTTCAGGTTTCTTTGGTTCTGAAAAATACAAGTGATAATATTCTTGGCACAATTTTTTTTTGGTGATGACTGCCTCTGTGAAGACCAAGCAAAAATCTCTGATAATTTCACTCTTTCTTGGTAAGTAAGCATTTAAAGTAGTTTGTAAGAAGGGAGTACTCTGAATCATCTTTTAGCAAACTGTACCAAAAGCATTGATCTGTATAACCATAGCAGGAACTAGACAGTATGCAAATTACATACAGGATTTTATAATGACAAAAGCAATGTATTATTAAAAACTGAGAATAAACTCCTACTATGCCTCACTGTGGACTGAAATTGTACCTGTTGAAATTGCATGCCTGAGTGCAGGTAAATTGCTGATGAATAATTGTTTCTTAGCATCAGTTCCTCTAGGGTGATCAATTAACTAGATTTTACTGTACTGGTCAAAGGTGAAACAATGAGCCAGTGTGCTCTTGCCTTCTAATGCCCTGAAGGCAACATACAGAGATTTTTGCTAATTGATGTTGAAGAGGAATTACAGTGATGGAATGAAGTTCCTGTGAAAGTTTCTGATTGTACCTTCATGACAGGTCAAAATCTGCTATAGGCCATATAGCTGGAGAACAGACTCCACGATTTTTGAAAGCTCTGAAAGCTCTGAAGAAAAAGCTGGTGCTAAACCAAGCTGAGGTCCTCCAGCTGGCCCGGCTTACTTGTGCCCTATGCTTTGGGGCTTTTTTTGACTGGTGTGTGTTGCTTCAGCACAATACCTGGCTCCGTGTGAAGAGGGGTGCCCACCAATAACCACACTCATGTCTTTGGTTGTTTCTGCCACTTGGCGGTGAGGGCTTTTGGTGTGTTGTTGCCTTTAGGATGTTCTTGGGTTGTGGGCAACCTGCAGAGGGGGACTGGATAAGAAACTGGAGGTCAGAACTGATAAAACTAATATGGACTGGTCCATTCTAATGATTAATGTATTATAAATAATCTCTTCTTACTCATTTTGTTGACATTTACAGATTTTTGTCTTGTCTTTCTCTATGTTTCCTTTTAACAATATATAGTCAAAAGACAAAAGAGACTTCAACAATAGTAATACTTGCATTCTTCAGCCTTCTTTTTCAAAGATAAATTTCATTGCTGTATAATAACAATAATTTCAGTTTCCAGGGCTGAATCTAAGTATTGTCTTCTTTATAATGAGATAATTTTCGACACCACCTCCATATGTTAATGCATGATATATGTTTTCGAAAGAGACTCTAAGTTAAGGAGAGACTCTAAATTATTTCATGGTTTGGGGTACTTGGCAGTGTGAATTTTCAAGGTAAATACGATTAGCATCCAGAATATGTTTTCTCAGGAGATTTAGTATGTAGTTGAAAACTGGAGAGGTGCCTCATGTCTTAACTATGTGCTTAAGTTGAGGACTTTCAAGACAAATGAAAACTAATATTACCTCCTTTTGTTCTGTGGGATCTATTTTGTGTAAACATTTTGTACGATAGTCCAAATTATAGCAATTTTTTTCCCATAAGATAATTCTTATGACTTCTATCTACACTGTCCAATATTTTTTCTTGCACTTTGCTTTTATACCATGCTCTTCTCATATAATATGTGTATATCTCCTATGATTTCCTTATACTCTCCAAAATGGACAAGAAAATAATTGAGATAAAAACTGGATAAAACTATAAAAAGAAACTCATTATGAAAAGTGCGTAGGCTCAAATACTGGCACGAAGGCACCAATGTGAAAAATCCCTATTTAGTGATGCACGAAGTGTTTTTGCCAAGATGAGCACTGGTGTAATCCTATAATCTTTTTGTTCTGAATGGCTCTCAAATGGCAGTGATCTGTTATCTTCTGTTGTGAAAATTGGTTCTGAAGCAATCTGACACTGCAAAGGAAATAAACATTGAGGAAAACAGTACTGAACATATAGCCAACTTTGTGCCTACTGGGTAGATGTGAAATACCTCACATCGTCTAGTGTGCTTTGATTAGGTTAAATCATGTGGTCTGTAGTTGTTGGTACTGGTCAACAGTCCTCTGGATGTGGGGGTGTGGAGGCGTGTGAACCTACTGGGGAGAGGGCAATGGTGATGCCCTGGAGAGATGACTCCAGGCACCCCTCACAGCTGAGTGAGGAAAGAAGGTTCCACCATGGTGCTCTGAAGCACTATGCTAATTTATCTCGACTTTGTCCTTCCCATTGGCCCATTGACCTTCTCTGCCCTTGTGACCCTTATATGTTCAAGTTCTAGTAAGTTCTCCCTTCCCCGTTACCCCATTAGTTTGTGTAACACCTCCCATCCACCCTTGTTGGTTTCTGTCCTTTGTACCACCCCTGTACCCTCATCCCATTGGCCCTGATGCTCTTCTCCACCCACTCTTTTCCTGTATTTTTACTCCAGGTCCTCGTTTGTCTTTGGTCTGTGGAGTCTTCAGCATCACCAGAAATGAATCACATTGGAACTTCATGCCTGACTCTCATGTCAGGCATGACAAGCTGCTGCATGTGTGTGTGTGCACTGGTGGTCTTGTGGCTCCTACCCATTGGTGCAAGATGTTCTTGGGGAAGGTTGCATCCACCACCATGTGCGACACAACATGGGGGGTGTGTTTGTTAGTTTTGAGGGAGGTTTAGTTAGTTAGTTTGTTTAGGTGTTTTATTGTGTGTGGGGGTGTTTTTTTCCTGTAGGATTGTGGAACGCAGCACGGCATTGACAGGTTTCCTGATAAAATAATGGGACAATAAAGTATTGTGTAATAAAAACTGCATGTGCATAGTACCTGTTTGTGATCTTTTTCCAGAGTTCTAGGTATCTGCTGTGGTATTAAGGTAGCAGCTGATCTCTAAACCAAAAGATTATGCTGTCTATAAAGATCTCTTTTGTGTGGTGTCAGAAAGGACATGGCTTTCTACTGGGACAACAGAAATGGAGTATGTGAGTGTTTCTGGATCATGGTTTACAGCTATTGCGAGGAACACTGACAACAAACAATGTGTGACCTCTCTCTGTTAGGAGGTTCTGCTTGAGAACACCTGCAGGTACCTGAGGCACTAGAATTTTCCAGCCACCTTTACACAAACTGCTTTTTGGCCTCTGAAAGCTGCATGTTTTGGTCACGTGCAGGAGGTGGAATAGTGCTAGATACTAGATATCCACCTGCCTTCCTGAATTTAATGCTGATGCTGTAAAAGACAAAACCTCATATATAAATGTTAGTACACCTGTCATCTCCTCCTCCAGCAGCTAAAAGAGTAAGAGCCTTTGGAGATTGCTACCCCTTTTCTTCCTAACAGAATATTGTGCCATGCCCTGACAAAACTGCCAGTATAGAAGTACCTCAGTTTATAGCCAGGTCAAATTTAGAAGATTACCTTCATGGTCTGCATAGATTAAAAGATTAAAAACTAAATTAACTCACTTTCTAAACCAAAAAACTACATACATCTGAGATTCTTCTGAAAATGAGTCTCTTATTTATACTTTGCTAAGTATAACTCTATCTTTTGTTGAACAAATGGACTTTTCTATTTGATGCCCGGAGTATAACTTGTGGAGATATTAAGTGTTCATTGAAATTGCAAAATATTGTAATCAAAGAAAGGTGAAAGTCATCAGTTAGCAAAAGACTCAGCATTTGTTGTATGCCCAAATGACGCTACTAATTGACATACAGCATATAACTTGCCCAAGAATTACTGTTTGGCAGTTTACAGGCCTTGATCAGGATACTGCGACCCTTCAGTGTATGTTGCAACTTCTGTCTTCTCTAATATCTAACAGTAACCAGCATCAGGTGCTTTAGGTCCAAAAAGTAAGGCCTTGGGCAGTAATGTGATTCTCCTTTTATTAAAAAAATGGCAAATCTGATTATAAGAAAAAAAATCAAACAGTACAGCTGAAATGACAAACCCAGTAGTTATTTGTTGTTTAATATTTGCAACTGTCTTCTATTTCTTTAATATGATCCTGAAATTACTTTGCATTGATTCATTATTTGACATCTGATTTGCAGTTTTTTCCTGGGCTCTATTTCCAGGAAGACTACTGTTGACATGTAATTTCAGGATATGTAACTACTAAACTGCTTTTAATTTGATACAATACAGAATGCTGCACCATTCACAAATCACTAAATTATTCTATCTTTTTGCAGCCATTTTAGGAGGTATCAAGTCAAACAGAAGATTCTGCCCTAGTGAGACAGTAGGTTCTTCACTCAGATAATGGTATCCTGACTCAGATGATCAGACTCTAGATTGTTGATTGTAAGAAGAAAAGATCAAGATTTAGATTTAGAGTTTGTTTTAGCAGCATTTGATATTTTATTTCTCTATCTCCATTGTCATATACTTGATAGCCATGAAGTTCTTCAGAATACTTTTTGGTTGGTTGTTTTTTTTTTCCTCCTGGAGCATTCAGGTTCATGAAATTCTTACAGTATCCTCATTCAAATGGAATAGGGTGTGCATAAAACCAAATAAAAATTAAAATATGTGTTGTTCCTACCATACTGGTGCCTTCCTTCCCTCATTTCCTCTGAGAAACTTCTCCTCTTGCTTCACATCACAACCAGCAGGTGTTGTCTCATCACAGAGTTCCTCTTCCGTGTTGAAGCTGTTTTTTGAATAGGACTGCCAAAAGAAATGTGGGATTTGGTTCTGCCAGGCAAAATTAGACCTAAATCAGACTGGAATCTAGCCATTTATTGTCTGAGGTGAAACAGTTCATTAATTCCTGCCACCTTTGCAGGAATGAGATTCGTGCATGGACCACAGTGGAAATCAGCAGAAAGCAGTATCAAGCAAGTGTACTGCCAGGGAGATGTCATCTTAAAGAACTGGCTTAGGCTGAAGCACGTTCTGGTTTTTTAGCTACCAAGTCAAGATGAAACAGAGTCAAACAGAAGCAAACTTTTAATTGTATTTTAGATTAGTCAAATAAATTTTGAACATCAATCATCAAAAATGTTTCCATTTGTAAAAATATTTTGATGAGCTCTTCTTTTATTTCTGCTATCTGAATTACTGAACCCTAAATGCAACATCCTGATTTAGCTAATATTTAGAATATGGAAACCTGAATTGATACAATGAGGGAATTAAGATCAACAGTAAACTTATATGTCGAGCCTTTATGAGTCTAAGGAGTATTAGATGGTTTTGGCATTCTATGCACTTTAAATTTCTAACTCTTCTAGTTTAAATCATATAATCTCTGGATTTCAGAGAGGCTCAGGAAACATAAACCAGCTGAGAATTTGTCACAGCATATTTTATAATTTGTCCTATAATAAATATATTCTATGAAAAACAATAACTCATCATCATCATAGAGTCCATAATACATTTTTTCTCTGTACAGAAGTATAACTTTGTTGGTTTGAGCAACAGCACAGCAATGCAAATGGGAGCACGTCATGTGAATAGCAAGCCCAATGAAAAAAATGCATTTATTTTCCAAAGTGATCATGCTCATTGTGATTCTCTTCGAATAGCATTTCTGCTTTATTTCTGAGCTTCACCATCAAATCCAACTGATGCTCATACAGATGTAATTAAAATGATGTTTAGTTTTAGAAAGACTGATACCTAAATTTGAGAACTGCTGAATTAAGGAAATATTTTTTTCTTTTTTTTATTACTCAGTAGTTTACTTCTGAAACAAACAGCCATATCTAGAAGGTGCCCCTTCCTCAGACAAAATTCTAAAATATAGACAATGGATTATAAAAATAAAATCTTACAGAAATTTCTGATGAATGTGGGTATGACTCCATGTTGCATGAATGACATGCATGTTCTGGGTAAAATTTATGGTCAATCTGCTCTGGTTTTCTGCTTTTTTGAAAGGTATACCTTATTTTTCCAAAAAGTATACAATTGGAGTTTTTTTGTTGTTGTTGTTTGTTTGTTTGTTTGTTTTCATTGGTTTTTTGTTGGCTCTTTTGTTTGTTTTCTTTTTTGTTTTGGTTTTGTTTTTGGTTTTTTTTTTTTGTTTTTTGTTTTTGGTTTTTTTTTCTTGTTTTTTGCTTATGTTTTTATTAAAACAGTAACAAAGTGGAATAAGTGCCCCATATCTGAATAGGAAAGCCCAGACAAGAAATGAAAAGCAAAGAAACTAAGTTCTTTGACAAAAGTTCTAAACCATTTGTGCCACCAATTGAAATGCAGACAGACACACAGGCAAAGTAATTTCTTTAATTGAATGCTAGTATATGTTGAGCAACACAAGAAGTGGTAAGTTCAGCTTACTTTGTAAATATTCAGATACAGGTAGATTTTGTGATTGCATCCAGAGACAATGAAAATTCTGTAATTTGATATAGAGGTGAAATTTTTTCCATGAGTTTAAAATATTATCATTATTTTATAGGGGAGAAAAGAGAGACTGTGTTGCATATGTGTGGATATACAGGATCAATTCCAGTGTGGTGTGGATGATAGATGTTCTGAAAACGTGTCCCAAGGTCAGTAACAGTATTGACAAAAAGACTACCCATTCAAAGTAAACATTAAAGATGAGTTAGCATTGCAGGTAGTAATATTTAACACAAAGTGTTGACTTTCTTTTTTTTTTTTTTTTTTTAGTAGAGTGCAAGCCTGATCCATGCACCCAGACTTATTATGTGTTCAGGTATGTAATCATTATTGAAATAATGCACTGGTATTCAGTGAAAGATTTTCCTAGCAACAAGACAGTGCAAGTTGGAGTTTTTATGGCTTGTGTTTGTGGTTAACTTATTTCACAGGTTAAGTTGTTGCATGTGAAATAAAGTTTAGAATTCTTATAGCGTATGAAGCAGTGAGTGTGAATTGTTAGTTTGCTACCTTGATAACAGTTTTTGCTAAACTATCTGGAGAGTCAGCATTAGTAATGTCATTTCAGTGGAATATTGTTCCCAGTCTAAGCAAGAATGAATATTCCGTGATTAAAAGGTATGCCAAATCAGCATGTCACAGCTGAAATTGTAATTTTCGACGTAATTTTGAATTAATGGTGAAACAGTGCAAGTGTGAATCAGTGTTAGGTTTAGCAGTGGTTTATAAAACTAATTTCACACTCTTTATTGAACATATCCTAAAAGATGATTTTGTGGTTTTTAGGATGAATTGGATTTATCGGACTTTTTATTTCATTTTCTTACTTACTTCCGTTTGCAGTGGTAAGTTAATACATAATTACTGAGATTTGCAAACAGTATAGAGAAATTATAGAAGGGGAGAAGATTAGTAACTGCAGTCTGCTCTTGAGAGAGCTGTTTATTCTGCTGGATTGAGTTTAGTTAAGTTTGGGAAGCTGGCATAACCCTATTGCCTGACACAGAACTTCCTAGTGGGGCTTTACTGACACTGTCCTGCCACCCCCTATGCTGTCACCTCCCGCTGCACATGTGGGACCATGCCACAGGCAGTTTTCTCCAAAGGACTGAGACTGTATCCACACTGTAGCTGTGAAATTGCTGTGGTGGTCCATGTTCTGTGCCCAGTGGCAAGGTCAGTAGCCTAAGCAGCAGCTGGGGAAGGAGGCCCTTTGGGGGTGTAGGAGGCAGAGTAATTTGTGTCTTTCACTCTGTGTTAATGATTTACTTTGTTCCATTAGCAAAAGTTAAACTACAAAAAACTGTGTTGCACTTCTCTGAAATTTCCTTTCCTGATAACTTATAACTAAGGCCTAACACAGGTATAAGTTCAGTAATAGCTGTTTTCTCAGACAACAATTAGGTAACAGTTTTTTAGCAAAATCTAATAGATAAATGAAGTATTATTTAAGAAAATATTTTACCTGGCTTTAAGTCTCTGCAAAAATATAATCTTGGAAAATTTCTGAGGCCTGGAAAACATTTTAATTAAATTAAAGTGTTCAGAACTGGCACAGTTTTATATGGTGCATAGTTTTACAGCATAAATAATTTTTTTGTCGTTAATTTATGCTAGAGGAAGATAAACAGGATCCAAGATATCTAATGCAGTAAATAATTGCAATATTCTTTTCTTTTACCTTTCGAATTCACTTGGTGTATTCTAAGAATTGAAAATGTTTTTCTGTTAATGACAAAGTTAGATAAAGAAATGCTACTGAGAATAATAAATACCAATTTTATAGAAAGAGCTTGAAAGTGTATACATACCAGAGAACTTGGGTGTTCATAAAGTCTAATATTTTACTAATAAGGACTTAACCTTTGAAAGATATTAGCACATCTAGCACATATGTCAGATAATCCTTATTTATTCCTTTAAAAAAAAGTGTATATTATACTTGTGTGCTGAAAATGCTGAATTACCAAAGCATAGTTTATAATCATATTTACAAATAAAATCCACTTATAGTCTTTTAAAACTGTCAAATCCAATATGATATTACCTTTTGTTTTCATTTAAAATATCTCTCGATACAGTATGATCACTCTAAAGTAACATATTAAACCACTAGATAAAATGTTTTCAGTTGGGTTTCCACCCAGTCTGTAAAAATTCATTATTTTGTCTTTTTCTTTATCTAAGAAAAAGCACTTTGGTAGATACAGGAATAAAAATTGCCATTTTATTGGTTTGCTATTCCTTTTGGAGGGCAAATTCCAAAAGAGACTGGTCTCTTGTGCAAAGACAGCTCTCTTGCATGTCTTAATACAGCGATCGTAGCCAAGCTATACTGCTTTTGCACTACAGTGGATATTCAAGACTCCCGAGGGCCTTGAGACTGAAAGGAACAGAGGGACTGGCCTGATGTTGTGTCAGGGGAGGTTTAGGTTGGATATTAGAAAAACATTCTTTACCCAGCGGGTGGTTGGGCACTGGAACAGGCTCTCCAGGGAAGTGGTCACAGCACCAAACCTAACAGAATTCTAAAAGTTTGAAAATCATTCCTGGAATGGTCCTGTGCAGGGCCAGCAGAGAGTCTCAAAGATCCTTGTGGATCCCTTCCAACTCAGCACACTCTGTGATTGTGATCTTACAAGTGCCTTCATTTTGAAAGATGTGAGGAGGTTGCTGTTGGGTGCCTTTGCTGCAGTGCTCTGCAGCGTGATTGGTTGCCATGACAGAGTTCAGTATGTCATTCAGAGTTAAGAAGTCCTGCAGAAGCAAGGTAGTAGTACAGCTCGTTTTCATTCTAGACTTTTCTTCATTGTGAAGAAGGTTTGGGGGGTTCAGGATGGAGTGTGAGAGAGCTGAAGGTCTATGAAATCCTTGGAGCCATTGAGGCTGTGCACAGTGGCACCACCTGTGACTGACTTCAGAGAATCCCCCAAAAATAGGATTTTCTTTAAATAAAACCTTCTAACTCCTTTTGGTACCTGCACTTCCTCTTCCTGTTTTTTCTCATAATGATCTGTATTGGTCTCAGGAGAGATTTCTGCTGTTCCTGCGATTTGCCATGGGAAGGCACCTTCCCCCTCTGCCATACAGATCTGCCTTGTGGCCTATCTAGCTTCTTGGGTTTCTACCTGGGCTCAAGCTGCCCTGCTCTGGCATTGGGTATGAGGCAGGGAACAGAGGGAGACTCTCATGACAGTATCATTTCCGCTGGAGTGAAAAGAGAAACTCAGAGGAAATGTCCTACTCACCCACCTTACCCACTTTTCCTGACAAAAGCCTGTTTTAAAAGCAAAGTCAGTGATGAAGAAGAGAAATGGCTTCACTCTCTCGTGGTGAACTGGGTGTTCCTGTCTCTAATAATTGACAATTTTGTTATTCCATGTCAGAATGTGTGACTCAGAGCTATGAAAATACATTCTTCCAAGGAGGAGACCTCACTACAGTTTTTACACCGAGCGCCAATTACTGCCAAATAGTGTGTACTTACCATCCTACCTGTCTGCTCTTCACCTACTTGCCAGCGACATGGACAAAAGATCCTGCAAAAAGGTAGAATGTTCATGTACTTGCTGGTCTTCTGTGATAATTTAGAAGCCTGGTAACATTTTGACAGAACACAGGCATGCAGGGAGAGGTGCAGGGTTGCCATGGAAAACAATGTCAAAGTGTCTCTAAAACTGGTGATCTAAGAATAATTGCTTGAATTCAAAAGGTTAAATTTGACAATGCCCAATTTTTCACACTCCACACTGGCCCTTTCAAGGAAAGAGAACTGAATCTGCACTCCCTCCTCTAGGCCATATATTCATTCTTGAGGGACAATGTGAATAATTTCACATCTCCAATGATCCCCTGTACTGTTCTCCATCCTTTCTACTTAGTATATTTTTGTCACGATTAAGAATTTCAGTATCCTGAGAGAATGAGGTTGTCTTCTCTCCATGCCCAGTGCATTTCTGTCCTCCCAACCCTGGGCTCTGCTTCTCATTTTATTAAGACCTCTTGGAGCTCCCACAAACACAAAATATTCTCATCTGCCCCAACTGCCAACAAAGTGTGTAAGGCCTATTTTTCTTCTAATTGCACTTGTCAGAATTTTCATGTTGAGGGATATTGGACAGGCTGCATTTCACCTGAGAAACAGTTACGAAAGTCTGTGTTATACTGACAAAGCTGTGAATTGCTGCATTTTAAAACACAGGTTCTCCTGCTATTTAAAAGACAGTGATACAGAAATGCTGCCGAAATTGGATATGGAAGGAGCTATCTCTGGACATTCCTTAAAACAGTGTAATCAAATTAGTGGTAAGATATGGTTATTCACATGCATGTATTTTATGCTCTTAATTGCATAGCAGCTGTTAAAATATTAGCATTTTGGGAAGAGGAATAGAATCAGGGAGTCAGCCAAATAGTGATTCGTGTGTTCTTTGCCAGACCACTTTCAAACACAAGTGACAAAAACTCCACTGGTTTTACTCTTCAGGCCCACCTACCCACCACCCAGGCTCCCCAGCTGAGGTAACAGGGAAATCATGCTCCTACAGTCACAGTTTCATTTGCTAGAGACAGATGGTAGCCCATGCTTTAATTGCTGACTCCAGTTCAAAAGATTAATTTACTACTACAATTACAGTCTAGAAAGTGGCTCATATGGTGTGTGTGACCCTGTTTTATAACTCTGAGGTGCAGATGTTCAGCAAAGCAAAAGTGCATTGTCACAAAGCGATGCTAATATTTTTTTGATACTTTGTAATAATTTTTTAGCAGCTGCATCTTTTAGGGTATACATGATGACTTAATGTCAGCATGCCATACCTGCAAGTTATCACCAGGCATATTAAAAGCATATTAAATGTGTTATTTTATGTAAGTTTTAAATTAGCACTGTCATAATGATGTCATTAAAAGGAGATAAACTTTAAGCATAGCATTGTACTTTAGAAAAATTGAATAAGGAAGAATATAAATATTCATTTTCTGACTTTGAGGATAAATAGTGTCTTACAGATGTCAGGCTAATTCTTTAGTTGTATTGGTATAGCATCTCAAGATGCCAGGACTAAGTGGGTTTCTACGTAAGTTCTCCACTGTAGCTATTATCAATAAGATGTGCTTGCCACTAGCCCTTCAGAGCAGTCAGGCCCCTTAAAAGCTCTTTCCTGACAATAACCCTTCATGTTTGTATTTCTGCATATCTTGGAACAGAAAGAGAGATTTCAGTGGGATATTATTCTTTATGCTATCTAGGCTAATTAATATCACTGGAATTACTCTAGAATCAGACTCAATGAAAATCTATCCATACAAGTTTAAAAATGCCTCCAATCATTGGCTAACTCTTGTTCTGTTAAATGACCTTCATTTCAAAGCCCACAGTTGTGGTCCTCCCTCTGTGGAGTGTAAATGTAATATTCTGACTCAAGTGGGAAATGTCTCTTGCTTATGAGCACACAATATGCCATTTAAACTGCTCTATGAATTTGGAACTGGGAAAATATATTTTAATATTGGTTCTGAGTTCTTGCTTTGGTGAATGTCATCCTGGCCTCAGTCACCCATAATGGTTAGAGCCCCTCTCTCATGTAGGCAGAGGCACTGTCAAAGTCTGCCAGGTTTTCCCCTTACCATGAGGTACTACACCAAACCTTGATTTCTGATTTGGTGCTAGATCTATGTGTAAAATATGATGTAACTGAAGTGAGCGTAGCAGATGGCATCTGAATTGTGAGGGCTGTGTCATACAAACTGCTTTCTTTTGGACAATTTGGGGCATGGGATGGGGAAAATAATTGAAGTACATTTTGAGAACTTGGTCTCTTTTTCTTCACAGCTTGCAGCCCAGATGTCCATGTAGGACTGGATATGGAAGGGAATATTTTTGATATTACTGTGGCTGACAGCTATCAAGAGTGTCAGAAACGATGTACCAATGACAACCGCTGTCATTTTTTTACATATGCCTCTGAAACATTTCACAATGCAAGCTTTTGGTAAATACAGGTTGGATTCATTTCCCTGGGTAGCCCTGTGCCTAAGTAGATTAAATCTCAGAGCATTCTAAGGTGCAAGAATCTACTCAAGAATATTCAATTTAATCCTCCTTGCAATGTTTGTTTACACTTACAGGTAGGAAAATATAAATTGTAAATTGGCTTTAATTTGTCCATTGGTGAGAAAGACAAACTTGATTATTACAGCCTTGAAAAAATCCTAAAATCCTTTGAAACGTATATTGCTAGCTGTGCTGCATTTTTGCTCTGTTCAATCTTACTCTGCTTACTGTTATGAAAACAGCATCATCAGAGTATCCAGAGAAATTATTTCATTTTAATAAGACCTATTTTTGAGCTCTTAATCTGCTCAATTTTGGAAGTTAAGCATTGTTCAGCTAGCTCTGTTCATCATTTGAACTCTGTTCCGGAGGTTGGAGATGTTCTGACCCATGGCCAGACCTTGCACAATGGCAGGAATTGTGTGCTCAGGAGGATGGTTTAGTCCAAGGAAGAAGACCTGTTTTCTTACCACTTTCTTTACTCTTTGTCATTCAGTAAAAAATGCTTCTTGAAACATGCCAGTATAGGAACTCCAACCAGCATAAAGGTGCTTGATGAGGTTGTGTCTGGATTCTCTCTGAAGCCATGTCAGCTTTCTGAATTAGGTAACTATTTAAAATCTCTGATTCTGTTTAGTTTTAAGGGTCATGTTTCCTGAAATGCAATCTATCAATCTATCACTCACATGTAGAAATGTTTCATTATGTAGAATAATTCTAAAATCATCTTATTCTTAAAATATAGTTAGTACACTGAGGCACAAAGGAGGTTAATCTCTTTTTAATTTTTTCATATTATCGTTTGTCTTACAGAAACAATTCCCTTCTTTAGAGATCTAAAGAATCCTTTCATAATATTAGCTTGATGGAATTGTATGTTATTTTTGTATGGTGGATACAAAAATGAAAGATAAAAGCCCATCAGATTCAAAGATCAGGGGAAATAGAAAGCTTTCTACATTTTGTTTGTATACTGTATATGCACTTGAAAATTTTTATTGAAGATCTGCAGTGTTTTAATACAGCTGGCTAATAGGAAAGGATGTAATATGCATTTTGTGGATGATTTGTGATGAAAGCAAAAAGTTTGTGCTTGTACCTGCAATCATTACTCAGACAAAATTCTCAAGAGACTAAAATCAAACAGTGTGTATCAAACCTTCTTATTCTCAATTGAAACATCTTTCAAGTTTTCTTTTTTTTTTTTTATTTTTCTTTTTAATTCTATCTTCACTTTTTCTTACTGCGTGATATTTTCCCTTCCTAACAATGATGTTATTCTGCTTTCATATAGCCTTATTTTATCTCACAGCTAATCTAGTTTTCCTGTGTAAATCACATTTCAGAGAGATGTGTATCAATATATTGCTTTCTAAAATCAGTGCTTGGGTTTGCTGTTGGCAGTGCTGGCACAGCATCAGCACTCTCTCCCCAACATTCCTTCCATCAATAGTCTGGGGGTGGGCAAGAGCCTGTGAGGGAATACACCTAGGTCAGCTGACCCAAATTACCCACAGGGACATTCCATGTCATATGATGTCAGCTCAGCTATGGAATCTAAGGAAAGGAGGAGGAAGGGCAGGCATTTATTATTTACAATGTTTGCCTTCTGGAGCAACCACTATGCACGCTGAAGCCCTGCTTCCCAGGAAGATCTTCCCAGGAAGTGGTTGGATATCACTTGCTGATGGGAAGTAGAAAATAAAATAACTGAGTTTGTCCTCTTTGCTTGTATGTATGCAACCTTTTGCTTTTGCTTTAGTAAACTGCCTTATTTCAACCTATGAGTCATTTTCCATATCATTTTTGCTCCCCTGTCCAGCTGAGAAGGGAGAATGATAAAGTAAGTTTCTGGGCACCTGGCATCCAGCCAAGGTCAACCCACCAAAGTCCTTTTTGGTGCCCAACTGTTTTCCTATAAAACAGTCTTTACCTGAAACCACAAGTTTCTACAAGTTTCTGGCTTTTACCTTTCTGATTCTCTCCCTGATCTTGCTGGTGGGGGAGTGAGTGAGTGACTGCACGGGGCTTGGTTGTTGGCTGGGATAAAACCATGACATCATATGAAAATCAGTCTTGTTCCTGCCAGTCTTTCCCTACTTTCTGTGTCTTGTGAAAGAGGCAAGAGCAGGTAAGAGAGAGAAGAAACTAATTGTGTGATCACAAAAGCCTAGACAGCACTCGTGCATCAAGAGATCATCTAAGGAGGTCACCTGTCCTAATCTCAGACAGATCATCTATACTTATCCAGAGATTTGTAGAATGTAGTCTTAAAAACTCAGTAATGTCTTCTGCCTTGTTGTTATGTCAACATCTGAAATGGGTTTAGTTCAATATTTGAGGTTTTCTTCTGACTTAATTTAGTTTATTCCTTTTTATGCAGCCTTTCATTTTGTGCCTTTGCCTCTCTGACTTTATTCCTATGCACACAGACTATTACTCACGCATAGCAATTTGTCTGTTTTCTGCCCTTTGCAAAGTATCTTCCTGGAGATCACTGAATATTGAGCAAATGATCACTGAATGTGATTCTTGAGATCATGGGTTAGCTTCCCTGAAGTTTCAGATCCACATTTTTGCTTTAAATATAATTTCCTTTGAAACTGTCTGTTCTGAATGCTATTTCTCCTTTAATGTAAGATCTTAACTACTAATTGCAAAAGTTAATTGACTCTAATTTTCTACATTTATGATTATATTTTTTACTGTTCTTATTGTGTAATTACTGCCCAATATTGTTGTCCTTTCTTGCCTATGTTTTTGAAAACCTCATCAAATTAACAGGATTCCGAGTAAGCTCTGCCTCTTCTTAGGTTTTCCTTCTGTAGGAAGATGTTCCAAATATGTTTCTATAACACACTGGGCAGTATTGACTTGATTGCTGTACTTTCTTAACAGCTCAAGTTCTCTGCTGCCACCAAATCCTGTCTTTTGGATCATTTCACTATTTTTACTATCTCTGCAGCTTGATAGGCTCAAGAAACATCCTCCATGCTAATGTTTCCTGTTTTTCTTTTTAAATTCTTGCACTAGGGTTCTAACTGGCACTTCAAGTATATCTTTGGAGAAGGATACTCATTAATCTATTTTAAACATGCTAATATTTCCTGTTACCTCTATATCCATTGTCTGGTTGTGTGAACTATCCTGCCAAGCCTCTGTTTTGTTATTTTGGCCATGTCAGAGGGCAGCGCTCCTACTTACTCTTCATACCTTTCAAATAGTAAAAGAAGTGTTAAGAGCATCACCTTATTTTTCTTCTAGTCTTCTCATGAACCTGATATGCCCACTGAAAATTAATTAAAATATTTCTCTATTAGATTAGCAAATCTCTATTGTAACATGTAATTTCTCTTTTCCTCTATATCAACTGTATCCCTGTAGTGCTCTCCATGATTTTACATGGTCAAAAATATTCTTGAGAAATAGTTTTTGGTTAAAATGCTGTGTTATCCTTTCATCTTATCAATCACAGAAGGAAAGTGGGAATAAAGATAGAAATGAATAATCTGTAAATGTCAATATTCCCATGACATACATGTTTATAGAATTTTGATATTTTGTTCTTGTTTTATGCAGATTGTCAAATGGACATTTTTGAAGATCAAGTGTTTTCAGGAATTAATATTACAAGTTTTTTCACTCCTGATATTTCTGTCTGCCAAACTATTTGTACATATTTTCCAAAGTGCTTGTTCTTTACATTTTTTACCAGGAAATGGCAAATAGAATCTCAAAGGTGAATATGACAGTTAAATGATATTATCTATGTAGATTATTTAAAATTTATTTTTTAAAAACACGGAGTCTTTTTTTAAACACTAATTTCTTATATGTAAGTTTATGTTGAAAGGCTATTTTCAGTAAAGCACAGCTTTTTATGGATTTTGTTCCTAAATTTGTAATTTCCTGTGGGCTTTTCCACTGTTTTCCAATGTGTTGGAATTATATTGTGCTTGTGTATCTGGTCTTAATCTGAAAAGAATTATACATGTCAAAAGTACAGTGAACCTCCAGATTATTTTAAAGACTTAAAGCTGAATTTTATGGCATTATCAAAACAGCCATCTGGTTTCCTGGCAGGGCGAACTTATTTACTTGAAGATATTTTTCAAGTAAGTTAATGGCTTTAGAAATATTTCTATTTGGCTTTCTTCTTTCATACTTATTAGTGAGAATAGTTAAAAATAAACATTTCATAAAAATCAGAAAAATAAAGCTTCAAAGGAATTTCAGGGAGAAGCAAAGCTGAGACAGCATGCATCACCTAAAGTCGCCTCTTCTGTTTATGTATAAATACTGTACCACCTTTAGTAGTATAGTTGTATGGCATTTCACAGTACTGCAAAGATTGCTTCAATTTAGTGTGAACTAGTGAACTTAATGAATGCATTTTCATATGAAATACTTCTACAGATTGAGACTTGGGAGAAAAGAGTGTATTTAGTAAAGAACCTTCTTTTACCAGTATCTAAACAATTATTTTTAGAATGTGAGAACAGGTTTAGTTATTGTGAAAAATATTTCATTTTAGAAACCTTTGCCTTCTGAAGACATCAACAAGTGGAATTCCAGAGGAACTCATATCACAAGAAAATGCTGTATCAGGCTTTGGCCTCCTAAATTGCAGAAGATCTTTTCCTGGTAAACAATAAATTACAATAAAAATACTAATTTTGAAATATCTAAGTAATAACTTTCTGATGCTTTGAATGCAATCATTCCTACAGCGTGCAATTCTCGCACTTACATGCAGATGGATTTTTTGGGAGATGAACTTACTGTCACTTACACTAAAGGACACAGAGCCTGCCAGCAGGTTTGCACAGACATGATCCGCTGCCAATTTTTTTCCTATTCTCTCTTCCAAGATTCATGCAATGAAGAAGGGTGAGATATATTTGAACATTTTTAAAATGTTCAAAGATTGCTAAAATAACATTCCAGATATGTGGTGAGGGAGTAATGTATGTGTTACTCAGTGAAAAAAATACAAACTAAATGTTTGCATTAATTAATTGCCAGAAAGTGTGAGTGTCACCTAAGAATGTCCTCAGATGGATCTCCAGTGAAAATAGTGCATGGACCAGGAAGTATCTCTGGATACTCACTAAGATTATGCAAAAAAAAGGCCAGTACTGGTAAGTAAAGCTTCTTTTGTGGAAAATAGACAGTGCTTCCTTGATTTCAGTGTAGGAGGCCAAACCATATTTTTTTAAAGTGGTTGCACTGTCCCAGTGGGTGATCTTGTAAAGTTCAAGTGTTCTGGAAAAATGAGGTCAGTCAGAACTTCGTATGGTAAACACTAGAACAGCACTGTGAATTTGGTTTCAATAGGCTTTACTATCATAAATCATGATGTATCAAAAATGTATCGCGTGTCACCTTTTTCGCAATAGGTGGTTCCTATTCAGTGATCAGCAGTAGTCTCATCTTCATTTTTCCTTGGTGAATGCAAGTTGTGTTTTAGCTCAGTTTTGAATTATTTCTGTAGTGTGTATGCAGCATTCTGCAAGAACAATTAGGATCGTTGGTGGGACAGACTCCTCCCCTGGTGAATGGCCGTGGCAGGTCAGCTTGCACGCCAGGCTGTCTCGGCAGAGACACCTGTGCGGGGGCTCCATCATCAGCAACCAGTGGGTCCTCACAGCTGCTCACTGCGTCACGAGGTAAGGCCTAAGTGTAAATGTACAAATAAGCCTCAAAGTTTAACCTAGCATGTGAGATAAGCTGAGGTCTACCTTTCAGGATAATAACAATGAGAACTAGAAAAAGATGAACTGCTTTAATGTAACCAAAAGGTGAAATTTTCAGGTAGACTTTCGGTTTCTTAATGCAACTGGAACTCCATACTTTGTCCCTTTTTAGCATAGTATTGTACTGCTGATGCTAAATTATTTTAATTAATCTAGAAGGTGAAATTCTAAAGTAGACAACAGACACCTACAGAACCCTAGACATTCTCATAAGACACGAGTTTTTTCTCATGTAATACTTTATTAGGCTATTTAGTCACAGACTGACTGTTTCTCTTTTTCCCTCAGTCTAGAGAATCCCAACATTTGGCGTATTTATGCTGGTATTTTAAGACAATCAGAAATAAATGAGGATACACCCTTCTTCAAAGTGGAAGAGATTATTGTTCACTCTCAGTATAAATATGCACGGATTGGATATGACATCGCTTTAATGAAACTTGCCGAGCCTATGAATTTTACTGGTATGTAGTATATTGCAGAGGAATTGTGAAAATGTGCAGGAAGACACAGGGCTGGCATTGCTATGGCAGTGCACAACAGCTGGGCTGGCTTCCTTTAGTAGGTAGTTACTGGGGTTTAAGAGAATCTATTCTGTTGGCTTAGAAATGAAAATGTGTGGCTTGAATTTGTGTACTGGGAGTCCTACATAATGTAAGGGACAAAGCATACATGGAAACTGTCGTCAGGGGCCATGTGGGTGCCCACAAAACCTTACTGTTGCAGTTGTCTCTGCTGGACAAACTAATATTTTCTCTTGTACTTTAGATCTTCAACAACCTATCTGCCTGCCATCAAAAGAAGACACTAACATATTTTATACTGAATGTTGGGTAACTGGATGGGGTTACAGAAAAGAAAAAGGTACAGAGAAATACTTTTAAACAGTGAATTTTGGTTTTTGACAAAAAACCTCCCATTCTCTAAAAAAAAAGAAAATTCTTCTCTGTTCTTAGAACCACTATTCCTTCTAGATAGTACTTTAATATAATTCTTTATTAGAATTGGTTTCTATTAAGACATCATAAAACATAAATGAAAGATGTATGAAATTATCATTAAATAGCTCCAAGCTCTGACACAATAATTAATTTTATAAATTGGTTTAGTAGTTTGAAATACTCGAGAATTCAATCCTCTACATACATCTAAATACATCTTCTACAACACTCAAATACCCTTCCTTAGATTCTAGTTTAATCTACTGGCAAGGCCCAGTACATATCTGGGTTTTGCACACTCTTTTTTATTTTTTCCTAGCTAAAAAAAATGCAAGAAATTTACCACTGAACTGTTTTGAATTACAGACTGCACATACCCCATGATGTTTTTTTATGTGATTGTATTCATATAACTTTAGAAATTGGAGACTGAAGTATGTTGCTTTTCTATTTCTGAAAATTGATTATAGACCATGCTGACGACTTGTGTTTTTATAGTAGATGAGATTTGAACTCCTCTGATTTTATATGGAGATAGGGCAAAAGCTCTTAATTATCAAGCTGTGGTTTTACATCTATTTATTTACTTATATTTTTATATGTTTATATAGATGTATATGCATCTATTTACAGAGAACCTTTTCCATTATGCATGTGCCTATCTGAAAGTTATAGTTCAATGAGAAATCTAACAAATTTAGGTAGTTACTGTATACACAAATTTCTTCTGTTAATTACTAGAGAAAAGTCTGGCTTTAAATACTCTTGTTTAGTCCATGTGCAAATTTCTCCATCTTAAAAACTACTAGGACAGAGAGCAGCACAGATTTGGCAACTGGGAGATTCCAAAGTTATTGCAGCACTTTACTAGGAAATAATAGTTATTAACACAAAGCAATGCTAACAGCAATGCTCCAAGGGCCAATGTCCTGAGAGCCATTCCCATATGAGGATTTGTTGCACATCACGACACAAGGGAGTTTTGAAGCTTTTCCAGAAGGTGGCATCATAAAAGCATTTAAATTAGAAGACAATTCACATTGTTCACTGAGGAACATTTTCACTTCCTAAAGGAAGGAAAATCAGTGTGATGAACATCTATTAACAGTCTAGAAGCAGTGACCTCCCATTCTGTAATATCAGTGTATGGGGATTTCTAGAGTTGAATTTTAACCTTTATTTTGCTAGAACCAAACATTTCTCATCTCATATTGCCTTCCATATAGGTCGGGTACAAGATATTCTTCAAAAGGCTCCTGTTCCCTTCATGTCAAAAGAGGAATGCCAGGCAAGGTACTGGAAGCACAGAATAGGTGACAAAGTGATCTGTGCTGGCTATGATGAAGGAGGAAGGGATGCTTGTAAGGTAATGACAGACAGTAGTGTATAGTTATATATTCCAACCACATGTTCAAATATATAAATGAATACTACAATTACTTTTAATTGTTATTAGAAAAGTATGATTATTAATAGAGCTCTTGTTTAACTTGTCATTATTGGTTGTCAAAAGTACTGAAAACCAAGGTATATGAAAAATATTTCTTATAAGACATTGAAATCTTTAGGGATAGATTCCATGGATAGGAAACTCTGAGTGTGGATCCATAGATATCCATTTAGGGAATAAAACCAGTTTCCTTCAGACTATCAGAAATCCAGAGAGCGCGAGTATAGTACCTTGAAGCATTTCTCCAATAGGAGCAGATTTTCTATGTGATTTCTTTTTTTTTTTTTTTTTTTTTTTCCATTTCTTGGTAGGAAATGCAGTACATAAAATCATATTTTAAAGGACCCACTGTGTATAAACAAGAAGGGAGGGTGCTAGCAATGCTATTAAAATGCACGGGGAATAGAAGGCTAAAAACAAACTGGGAAAACCACTCTGTTCATAGTTAGAGTTGAAAATGTCACCACAGCATGAGTTCTGTGAGCCACTCTGCTTAAGAGTAAACTCATGCACTTTTGCCAGTTTAAATATTCTGAGTTAATTTCTGCAAGAAGAAAATAGTCTGATTATTAACATTAAATTCTCTACCAAATACAGTTTTCACTGCAAGCATTTAACACTTAATAATTGTATGCTGAAATGTTACTATTTCTATGATTTGTTAGGAATAAAAATACTTGGAGCTGGGGAGTACTTTTTCCTCTATGCCAATTAAGCTTTTTTTTTATCTGATAAAGCGTAATAGAACATGGAGATGCTGTTTTAAAAAATAACAGACTTGCTATTGTCCTAACAACTCATAACAGTTTCTCTAAGGAATCTTATGTCCAGGAGGGAATAGAAAAAGAAAACACTAAAGTGTTTTATCCTGAGTGGGACAGAGTCACTCAAACAGGACAAGGCATATAGAGAACTGAGATACTAAAAACATAGTCCTTAGAAAAAATACAGCCAATACTACATACAGTTTTAAATCATTGTATGTAGATAAAGCAATAATGATAATAAAAAGAAAATAATATAAATGGGTAGTTTTGAACCCTCATGGGAAGAAGAAATTGTTTGCAATGACTATTTAGAAATCAATTTGCTAAACAATCAGAACACCTGCTTCAATCCTCTCTTAATCAGCTGTAAGTGAAAGTGATGGAAATCTAGGCTGTTATGCTGGTGTTAAAATTGAATGATGCTGATTTTATTCAAAGCTTTCTTTGTGATAGAAATACTGATGAGGCCTCTCTTTTTCTCCTGTGACACAGGGAGACTCAGGAGGGCCCCTGTCATGCAGGCATGAGGAGGTGTGGTACCTGGTGGGCATCACCAGCTGGGGAGAAGGGTGTGCTCGCCCCAGGCAGCCGGGAGTCTACACCAAAGTTGCTGACTATGCAGACTGGATTCTAGAAAAAACAACGTAGTATGAGCATTACTGACTCACTCAAAGTGTTGCAGTGGAATAACAACCCTCAGAGCAATGGGATAAAGCATATTAGTGCTTTTTCAATGGTGGTTTTTGTTAGCCTGAAGTGTAAAGTAATTGTTTTAAAATGCAGAAAAGCAGGAATGAATGAATTTTCTTATTACTAAATAAAAAGCAGTAATAACAATAAACTCTGTGATCACTGATTTGGCAGAAGAAAATAGGGCTGAGCTATAGAGTTCTTCTGTTATTGCTAACTTAAAATGGGAGTGGATGATGTTGCCCGACATGTATGGACCTTGGAACTGGGAACTACTTCTATCTTAGGAGGTTGCCACACAACAAAAAGAAATTTCCCTCTCTTGTCTGAATGTAGTTAAAATGGGTGAATCATTTACAAGCTTACTGGAGGGCTGGGGGAAGGGAAGCTGAGGCATGGAAATGCCTATACAGTTGCATCTTCCTAGTTTCCCTGGAGAATTAACCAAAAAAGTGTCAGTACTAAGCAAGAAGACAAACCCAGAGGTCTTGGCAGAGGGACACACGTGAATACTGACACCACCGAGCCCAGTTCATGCTGGAAAATCCCATCCTGCTGTTCCCAGCAGTCTGCCAAGGGTTTGCACAAATGTGGTTTACCACTGTGCTGTGATCTCCACTGGGCTTTGATCTTCTCAGGACCAAGTCAGGGAGCTCAAGGCTGACCCTTAGGGTGCCTCCAGGTTACCAAAAACCCATGTTATTGTCTGTACACAGATGTTCTCGTGGCACACAGAACATAAACAGTGGAAGGCATAAAACACTTCTTTTTCTACATTGCTGCTCTCCAGACTTTTTGCATTCCGAGCTGCAAGGTCACTTGAGTGTGTTTACAATCCCCACCAGTCTTCCACTTTTAACCCATTCTTCCCAATGAGCTGTCACCTACATTATTCTAATTTCTGTGGATAATTTTTTGATGAGAAGGATAATGAGGGTCTACTTCTCTTGAGGAAGAATATCCAGAAAATCAATAAAAGGATCCCCCCTGCCCCAATATATATTTTTATTTTCCAAATACCTAACTCTGTGATTAAAGAAACAACTTTATCCTGTTCCTAGATGTCCTTTTTTTCCTTTTATAATTTTCCTTACTTTGTGTCAGGTAGCAAATGTATTACATGGATAAAATTAATACTAGTGCGAGAAACAGGGATCAAAAATTAATTACATTCCCATAGTAAGAAACAATGTTTCACACTGCATCAGAAAGGAGAGTAGAGTACCAACACTGTCTTTGCCAACATTTATGAGCCTGTTTCCTAATAATCTACATTACCATAATTGCTGAAAATATGTTCCAGAGGGCTACTCATAATTGCCCTACACCATGCTGGGAGGTAAGCAGCAGGAGTGGCTCTGCAAGTAAATTAGGTCATGAAACGTAGGAATTAAACATCAAATTTCTGGAAGATAAGACTCAAACTGATTAAAATTACTATTGTCTTTAATTTTTTATGCTTTATTTGTAAATAATACTGAGGAAAAAAGAAGTGTAATTCCATGCTACAAGCTTATACTCCTATCTGTGTCTGGAGTCCGGGTGTGCAGTGCTAAACTGACTGAAGTCAACAAACCTGAAATCCCAAGACTGTGTTCAAAGACTGGGGAGTTGATTTACTTTGTTTATTTTAAAAGAAGTAGAATTCAGAGAAGGGATGAGAACAGTCCAAACTCAACAGGAGAACAGAGGTAATGCTGTGCCGCCACCCTCTGCCCTGTGGTGGACTCCTGGTGGCAGGGGCTGGAGTCAGTGGGTGCACAGGGCTGAAGGTGTCACACACGGGGGGTGCAGGAAATGCCTGCTCAGAGAGCCAGCAGGAAAAGTCTGGTGTGTGTTGGGGGAATTGAATCAAAGGTGAGAGGGAAGGCACATCACTGTGCTGGGGTTTTTGCCAACACTGCAGAAGCAGAACAAGAGATATGGATGGGGGCTGATGTCTCTTCATGCTCTGTTTAATCTGCAGCTGGTTTAAAATAACAGCAAACCTCAGACTTGCTGTCAAAAACCTAGAGACTTAAATAAGGGACTGAGAAGGAAAAAATAGAAAATAGGAGAAAAAAGAGAAAGATTCTTGGCATTCAACTGTGGTTTTGTCCTCATGGGGGAGGAATGAAGACAGCTGGAAAAGAGTTGCTGAAGGAAAAAAAGGAATTGCTTCAGTAGGAAAACAGAGGCTGAAACTCTCTAAATAAGAATCATCAGGAGACCATCCAAAATACTTGTCTTCAACACTCAAGCTGTGTAGACTAAAGAGTATATGCAATGTCAATCTGACAACCTTTAATACTTTCTCATAATAATCCTATCACCAGCTTTTTCAAATGCACAAAAAATGTGTTATTATTTTTTTGTTTGTTTTTTTTTTTTTTTTCTGCTACAACTATTCAGGTTGTAAGTATTTCAGTAACCAAGAGGAATGGCAGTCAGCAATGCTCTGTAGATTTCTGGAGCTCCATGTTTTGTTTCTCAGAGGCATTCTAGGTGGCAGCAATATGCCAAAGGAAACTCAGCTGTTCCTGTGGAAAGAACAAGTGATCTCAATGACTCCAGACATCCTTCATGAGTAGCTGTTGACCAGATAAAATACCTTATTGCAATATATTTTCACCTAGAGCAGATATCCTTCAATGAAATTTTGTATTGTTTGTTGGTCCATCTGTAATAAATTCCTGATGACTAAAAGTGCATACCAGGAATAGGTATGTGGAGAATGCAGGAGTTCGTGGTGGCTATATGAGGTCCTTATGACTTTGTTTAAGATGAACTGTATGAGGAAATTTCTGATCTTTATGTGGGTTTATACACCAGTGAGATATGTAATTCATTGAGACCTTTAGACCCATAGATAGAAGTATATTGGTGTTATTAAGTCTTATATTGCTTGGGCTTTCTGGTATCAATAGGTGACTTGCACTAAATGAGAGGCAGTATATGACCTTTGTTTATTCTCCCTTCTAATCTCCCTCCCTGGGGAAAAGTGATTTTTTAAAAGCTGACAACCAAAAAAACCTATCTCAATCTCATTAAAGAAAAGCCTGGTCTTATACTTTAAATCTTCCTCTGTTCATGTTGGAACAGAAGATAAACATCAGTGCTTTAGTTGTTATTCTGATTAATAGCAAGTGTCTCTGGCTTTCCTGAAAGTCAATAAATCTCATAATCTTAGAGAGGCAGAAACTTTGGTAGGGGCAAGTGCCATTGTTGATGTATTGAATGGCAGCATTAGTCTGGACTGATTTTTTTGTTGTTGTTGTTTTTTTTTTGGTTTTTTTTGGTTTTTTTTGTACAAACAAGATCCATGATCCCAGAAATTTTCAAACTTGTTCAAGTATAGATGAAACACTTCATATGTGCTGTGACAATCTGGAGAACAATTAGTTAAGCATAAAGTAAAGGCATATTCTTTTGCTGCTCAAGTGGAATCAAATTATAACTTGTAACAGCTTTCTCTAATCATTTAAATAGAATTGCAAAGCAAAAAACCCAGTTTCCCATTAAACTGGCAATGCAGTGTTTCCTACCACTGCTGGTGCTTTGCCTAATGTCTGAGTTTGAAGTACGACTTCATGAAAGTGACCTGAGCTGTGAACAAGAAGACATGAAGCCTCTCATTTCTTCTTGTTGGGAGAATTCAAAATCCTTGCAATGAAGATCTAGAGAGATCACCCAGTAAGTCCATTTCCTCTGCTTTCCCATCAGAAGGGAGTGGAACAGTTTGGTATAAGCTCCTAGTGTAAGTTTAATTTGTTCTGTGAAAAATTATTATTCTGCTGTAATGAAAAATGAATCTCTGATGCTGGAAACCAGCAAACTGTATGGAATTAAAATAATTCACAATGGCACTCCTCAGGAGAACTGTGAATTCTAATTCTCTGCCTAATTTCCTGTATGTATGGAGGACTCTTTGAAAAATTATGCCGAGGTGCTTTTTTTAAGTGAAATATCTACATTTAAATACATTCAAATTGCATTTCTACTTCAAATAGGAGGCAACATTAATTTGCCTCTAAGTAATTAAAGCAGATATGCAATACTACATATTTATAGTAAAGGATTTCCTAGAGTAGTAAACTGATTGTTTTTCCTGTGGTCTTTTTTTTGTAAATCACATTTTAGATATGTATATGTTAGACTTGCTATGGATTGTTGTATGCAAAATGTTTTTCATGTCTTATGCAGTGGAGTTTGGGGTTTCCTTGGTATTGATGGGTTTTGGTTTTGTTTTGCTTTTGTTTATTTGGCTGGGGTTTTTTGTGTTTGTTTTTTTCTTATTTTTTTTAAAAAAATCTGCATTTACTTTTTATGTTTCTGATACTCTTTCTCCATCACATTGTGATGTTAGCAAATACTGAGTCAGTTCCCATATTTTTGTTAGCTGGTTTATTTGTGGGGGAACAATGATACCAAAGGAAGAGGACTGCATGCACAGGGCATGCAAAAGTTTAAAGGGTGTTGATTTTTCATTTTTAACTAAATCAAAGTTAAAGTGAGTTGGAACAAAAAACCAAGAATCAATGCAATTTGAAGAAAGACCAGGCTAAACAATAAATACGCATCTGGATGTGTGGAACTGAAAATATGATGGAACACCTATATATCCTTTTCAGGTCCGCAGAATTGTACCCCAGGACCTGAAAATTAAATCATGCATGATACAGGATGTCTTTCTGTGCTAGGAAGTGTGGAATCATCAGAAGTGCAGCATTGCCCTAACATGATTGTGCTCTGCTCCAACCTGAGCTTATTATCACACAACTCTGCTGTGATTTGCTGCTCTACATTGAGATACAATGTTCAATTGTCAGGCTCATATCTGTACTTTCACTCCATTTCCACTGGCTGTACCATCTGGTAGATTTTGTCTCCCAGTAACCTCTTTGCTTATTTTCATCCCTGGAGTCATGTACAGGGATTTGGAGAATGGTATGCTTTTAATTGTCGCAAGAAGTTTAAACAAATATCTGTTCTGGGATGCTATTGGGCATTACCAAATGCACCCAGAAGACTTCCTGATATTTTCTCTGTTGCCTGTCCCTAGTACAGCATTGTTTTTTGAATGATTCCTGTTGGTTGAGTGCTGCTAAGGGAAATGTGCTTCTTGAGGAAGCACCATACATAATATATCTGAAGCTTCTATGTTTCTGTGCT